GTGGCTGCTCCAAAGGATTGAGATGGAGGGTTTTTCCGGTGATCTTCATAGTTCTGAGCTGGCCCTGGTACATGTATTACATCAGCCTGATCAGACTCCTGGCAGATGCTCCATGGATCTTCCAAATCAACAGTATCTTCTGTCACAAAGACTGGTTTACCATCCTGCTTTATGGTCATTGGCTTTAATGCCTTGGCTGTAGAAGCCCAGGTATTGATGAGTAGGGAACAGTCACCAAAGATCCATTATCTCCTGCGCTCACAGACTCAGATCAAACGGGCATTAGTAACAAACAGCGTGTTCATCTGCTGGTGATCAGAGGTTGTGCTGCTCTATCATGAATCTGGGGAAACTTGATAAAACTGTAGAAGAGGATGAAACAGCGCACAAAACTTGCGCATTACCTCAATAAATAGTGACCAATTTTATTTTATTTAGGAAATATACTCACAAAAGTGGCGGTAAAACAATACTCATTTTTATATATATTTTTTCTGTGTGTCTTTTTTGACATTATTATTATACGTATTGCCATTTTTATGAGTATTTTTATGTGTATTGTTATGATCATCTACAGTATCACCACCTGTTATACCATTTTGAATATTCATAATTCCTGTAATATTTTGAGGGGAATTTGTATTTATTTTTTTGATCAGCTCTGATGAAGAAGGGAGCACCCTTTCGAAACGCATTAGCTTTTATCCCCCCCCTTTTGGATTTACCTCTAACCCTGTGTGGATTTTGGTTAACTTATGCCTGTTTTACCATCACTTTTGTGAGTATATTTCCTAAATAAAATAAAATTAGTCACTATTTATTGAGGTAATGCGCAAGGTTTGTGCCCTCTTTCTTTCATCCTCTTCTACTATTGATGAGTAGGGGCCTTTTCAAGTCAGTGATACCTTTATGATGCTAAAACTGAGAGGTTCACTTTCTGTAAGGTTTACCATTGTACTTGGAAGACGTACTTCATTTTGTGTGAGGAAAGATATTTTTCATCCAAAAAAATATGTTGGGCAAATTAGGCCAGGATCAGCATTTGGCCCTGAATACCAACAAGGGACAAATATTGGTGCTTGTGGTCATGTTCCATACACTGCTAGCCCCCCATTCTTTAATACCTTTGTATAGAGTACCTTTCGTGTGTTACCCTGGACGCTCAGCTATCACTCCAAGGGATTTTATTCTGGTTCTCTCAGCACTTCAAAAATAGCCCTTTGAACTTTCCAGGAATTTTCCCCATTCCAGACTTGCTTACAAGGTTGTGTTCAGTGTATATTTTTTTTTTCCTAGTGGTGTGTCAGCCTTTCACCTCAACCAGGACATAGTACTTCCGTCCCTCTGTCCGGCCCCAGTACATCAGAAGGAAATTTCCCTTCATTATCTGAATTTACACAGATCAGCCAAAAAATTATGACCACTTGTAAAGTGAATAACCATTTATATCTTCTTACAGTGGCACCTGATAATGGGTAGGATATATTAGGCAGCAGTTGAACATGTCCCTGTAGTTGATGTGCTGAAAGCCACAAAAAAGGGCAAGCATAAGGATTTGAGGGACTTTGACAAGGGCCTAGTTGTAATGGCTAGACTGCTTGTCAGAACAACTCCAAAACTGTGGGTCTTGTGGGATGTTCCCAGACTGCAGAGGTAAGGACCTACCACAAGTGGTCCAGGGAAGGAAAACTGATGACTTGGTTATGGGCAGTCAAGACTCATCGATGCACGTGGCTAGTGAAGGCCAGCCCGGGTAGTCTGATCCAGTAGAATATCTTTTTCAGCTCAAATTGCTGAAAAGTTAATACTGGTTCTGATAGGTGTCAGAACACAAATGTAGTTGCAGACTGGTCAGGGTGCCCATGCTGACCCTGGTGCACAGCCAAAAGCACCTAGGGTGTGTGCATGAGAAATGACAAACGGCGCAATGAAAGAAGGTGTTGGCAGCCATGGGTAGATAATTGTTTGCCACAGAACTTTGATCAGTTCTTGCTGGAACCTTGACCCAGACTCATTAATATGCCCAGTGGCTCCTTTAGTCAACAGCTGGCCCATTGCGGCTACCACTGGATCCCCTTTTCCCCGTATCTCCCCTTCTCTTCTCTTTGTTTTTATCCCTATTGCCTACTATCTTGCCTTGTGTAAGTTGGATAAATTGTTTTGCATTTTTAGTATTGTGGCTCATTTAAGTGAAGTTACCCCCTGCAAGTTGGGGTTCTCAACACAGGATGTGTGTGGTTGTATTTTGCATTCAGCTCTGCTCTCTTTGGCACTTTAGTGCTGTTTTTGTTTGTTATTTTTTATTCATATTCATTATTTATAATGTTTTTGTATAGCTCTACCAGATGAATGGCAAACTAATACTGTTATGTTCAGTTCCTTATACTCAAAATATTGAACAAGAAAGAAGGTGTCCTGGTCTGATGGCTTCAAGAATGGTTTTAGGATTGAGTCTGAGGTGTTGACTTGACCTCCAAATTCTCCAGCTCTCAATCCAGTGGAGCATGGAATATGCTGGAATAACATGTTTGATTCATGGAGGCCCCACCGTGCAACTTACAGGACTTAAAGGATCTGTTGCTAACGACTTGGTGCCAGATACCACAGCATGCCTCCAGAGGACTAGTGGAGTCTATGCCTTAGGTTATGGTGGGTGGTCATAATGTTATGGCTGATTGGTGTAGATCAAGCAGTGTGCAGTCACTGCTTTCTATTAGACTCTCCCTCTCCTTGTCTTTCCTGATGGTCCCCACAAAGGAGAACCAGCTTCTCATTCAGAATTTCTCCTTGGCTCAGGCAGATCATCATGTAAGTTTATTGTCTTATGGCAGCCAAATTAGGATGGCACCAACTTTATATTTTATTAAATTTCCTTATTCACATAGCATAACTTTACAAAAAAAAAAAATCTTAATTTCACTTTCCCTTTTTTTAGATGCTCTATTGTGGACCGGCAAGGCAAAATCTCTGTTGGGAGTTGACTGGACAGCTGTGTTTCCTATAATTAATCCTGTCTGTATTGTGAAGGCAGCTATTCACTGTCAATAGTGTCTAGATGTGAACACTGCCTGTCCTAAGGGTTCACTTTTGTGAAAGCACCCTGCCTGCGATTACATGCGGGCTTCCCGCGATTAGCTGCGAGTAGGCAGCCCCTTTGAAAGCAGAGTTTGCACCTAGTCATGCCAACTCGCAGGTAGTCTCTCAAGCAGTGATCACGTGTGACCTGATTACTTGCATGTGATTGCTGCATGAGTGATTACATACAAGTGGGCATGATAAGCTGCAAGAGCCGGCAGCCTCTGATTGTTTTTAATGGGGCTGCCTACACGCAGCTAACCGCGGGAAACCCCTGATGTAATCACAGTCAGGGTGTGTTCCCAAGTGTGAATGCACCCTTAAGGCAGTCCATAGATGTTTCAATTTTCTTTCCTTTCACCACAAGTGGAACAGGAACTGACTGTGTTGATGGGGGAATGCCTCCCGTAATGCTATTGTATTCTGCGGGCGGGGGGTATGGGGTGCCTTCCCACCCGGCAGAACACAATGATTACTTATAGCGGATTTAACTGCTGGCAGTAATCACGTGTAAAAATCCGACAGGCTGATTGTACCCAAATCAATCGGTGGATCGACTTGGGTACAATTAGTCTGCCCATACATGGATCAAACCATGGCTCAAAATTTGGTTCCATGTATGGCCGGCTTAAGGGTTAGTGGCTGGGCTTTTTCCATTGTCTCTTAATGAGAATATGTTTGGTACTGACTCACTGTTCTAAAAACCTTAAAGTCAGGCAATGACACTTTGTCCTGAGAAACATCTAAAAGGGTAGGAAATGTTTTTTAAAAACATTTTTTTTCTAGGAATTCTGTGTGAACAGGAACATATAGCAAGTATAGTGGGGTTTTTCTCAAATGTGAGTGCAAGTGGAAATATTCTTTAAGGCTCGGGTTCCACCCTTTTCCTAATAAAACGCCTGTTACAAATGCGCTGTTTCCCCAATCGATTTTAAGTGATGACCTTACATTAAAGTGTGAATAGAAGTCACAATGTTACAAAACTAAATATAATTAACAACCCCTTTTCCAGTCAAGGCACGCGCTACTAGATCTGTGAGTGCTTCTTAGACTTTTTGGCATCAGGCAACTGCTTCCCAAACTTGAAAGGCTTTCACCTGAGCTTCTGTTCACATGTCCTCAAAGTTTTCCATTTGGATGATGCCAGGTTTGGATGTAAGGCTCATCTCTTTGAGCTTGCGGGCAAGCTCAAGTTTTATGTTTTTTGTTGTTTGTTTGTTTTTTTGTGGGCTGCTTAGTGTTCTGTTGCCATTGGCCACCCCTCAGTTGGACTGCTTTTTGATTTCCCTATAGTCTCTTGAGTCCTGTTCTCCTCCGTAAATGAGAAAGAATATTATATTTTGAGCTTACCTAAGATCTTCTTTTCTTGGAATCCATTGAGGGACAGATAAATCCCCCCCCCCCCCCCCCCCCGTGTTATGGTCTTGCTCTTGGTACTGCTTTTCTACAAACTGAGGTATTCTGGGAGTGGAAGGGGTTATACCAGGCTTGTTACTGTTATGGGGTTTTTGTTTTCCCCAAATCCTGCTAAAGGCAGCGATATAACCTAATAATCTTTGAATCCTGTGTCCCTCAACTGTAAGAAAAAGGTTTATTATTATGTACAGAAATCAAGATTTTTTTGCTTTATCATCAGATATATACTAGATAGTAACACTTTTTTTTTTAGCAAGTTATGTATATTCAGTACCTTTTACCTGTACAGCGTAAAAAGAAAAGTATGAAAGTGCTGCACTGCCACACGGTAGGAGCTTGATTCAGACTTTATTATTGATGCAGTTTTCTGTTAGTCATATGGCTATGTGTAATTAGTATTCCAGACTTGTTCTGATAATGGAAACTTTTATATTTTAGATTGTGTTGAAGCTAGATTTCATTTTTTATTCTAGCGTTTGATTGATGTTATAAAATTTTATTGTTTTCAGCCGTACGTCGAGGTCTAAAAAGCCGCTCAAAAAGTCGGGGCCGGTCTTCTTCACGCTCACACTCAAGATCTTCTAAGTCTTCTCGCTCCTATTCTGAATCTCGGTCACGATCTCATTCTCGATCCAGATCATATTCTCACTCCAGGTCTAGGTGAAGTAAACGTAATTTCCTATGCCTGTAATTTTTCTACAGTTTTACTGTTTATTTGTGCCACATGTACCTTGCTGACTGCGTACACATTTTAGGCTATTTAGATGGGTTTTTAGAACTGACAGTTGACAAAATCAACCAATATATGCCACATTTCAAAAGTAGAGGTGCGTCTCAATAAATTAGAAAACCATCAAAAAGTTAATTTTATTCAGTAATTAAATTAAAAAAGTGAAATTCATAATATATAGATTCGTTACACACAGAGTGATACATTTCAAGCATTTTTTATTTTTAATTTTGATGGTTATGACTTACAGCTACTGAAAACGCAAAATTCAGTATCTCAGAAAATTAGAATACTGTGAAAAAGTTCAATATTGTAGACTCATTGTGCAACACTCTAATCAGCTAATTAACTCAATACATCTGTAAAGGTTTCCTGAGCCTTTAAATGGTCTCTCAGTGTGTTACACAATCATGGGGAAAACTGTTGACTTGACAGTTGTCCAGAAGACAGTCATTGACACCCTCCACAAGGAAGGTAAGTCACAAAAGGTCATTGCTAAAGAAGCTGGCTGTTCACAAGAGTGCTGTATCCAAGCATATTAATGGAAAGTTGAGTGGAATGAAAAAGCATGGTAGAAAAAGGTGCAAAAGCAACGGGATAACTGAAGCCTTGAGTGGATTGTTAAGCAAAGGCCATCGAGAATTTGGGGGGAAATTCACAAGGAGTGGTCTACAGATGGTGTCAGTGCTTCAGGAGCCACCACACACAGACTTATCCAGGACATGGGCTGCAAGTGTTGCATTTCTTGTGTCAAGCCACTCCTAAACCAGAGACAAACGTCAGAAACATCTTACCTGGGCTAAGGAGAAAAAGGACTGCACTGTTGCTCAGTGGTCCTAAGTCCTCTTTTCGGATGAAAGTAAATTTTGCATTTGATTAGGAAATCAAGGTCCCAGAGTCTGGAGGAAGAGTGGAGAGGCACAGAATCCAAGTTGCATGAGGTCCAGTGTGAAGGTTCCACAGCCAGTGATGATTTGGGGAGCCATGTCATCTGCTGAGGTTGATCCTTTGTGTTTTTATGAAGTCCGAAGTCAGCACAGCCTTCTACCCGGAAATTCTAGAGCACTTCATTATTCCCTCTGCTGACCAGCTTTATGGAGATGCTGAATTTATTTTCAAGCAAGACTTGGCACCTGCCCACAATGCTAAAAGTACCAATACCTGGTTTAGTGATCTGAAGTTGCTATCAAAGCAACCTGGGCTTCCATAACACCTCAGAAGGGCTGATTGCCTCAATGCCACGCCGCATTGATGCAGTAATTCATGCAAATGGAGCCCAAACCAAGTATTGAGTGCATACTATACTGTACATGGACATACTTTTCTGTAGGCCAAGATTTCTATATTCAGAATCCTTTTACTTTTTTGGTCTTATGTAATATTCTAATTTTCTAAGTTACTGAATTTTGGGTTTTCAATAGCTGTAAGCCATAATCATCAAAATTAAAAAACAAATGCTTGAAATATATCACTCTGTGCGTAATGTGTGTGTGTATATATATATATGTGTGTGTGTATATATGTATGATATATATATATATATATATATATATAGTTTCACTTCTTGAATTGAATTACTGAAATACATTGTTTTTTTTGATGATATTCTAATTTATTTAGATGCACCTGTATCTTATGAAAAAGGCACTCATAAAAAAAATTGCGAATATTGAGTGGTAACTATAGGTCTGACTCAGTATGGGGTTATTCTGTACAGCTGCCGACATGAGACAGGCTTTTCTACTCCAGCTGTGGCTGCTGTAAAAAATAAATAAATAAATAAAACTGTACAGACATTGAAGACCTTTCATTTTGATTTGCCTGGAATGTACTTAGCTGACTTAAACTGAAGGTTCAGTTGAGCTTGAGCAATTTGAAAACCCAGACTCTGAAATGTTTTCGTGGCTATGCAGTATTCTGCATGGTTGGTAGATAATTCATCTGCATACATTTAGCATTTTAAATAATGCTTAGCCCATGCAAAGCAAGAATGAGTTTGCGGAATGCAGTTGTTTGTAAACTAAGTTTATTGTTTGAAAGAATAATGCCTGTTAGGTTCTTTAGCTATATTATTGTGAACCCTTCTTGTTCCCTTCTTTACTCCTCAGTCCTTAATTGATAACTAGTTCTTTGTTGCTGGTGTGTATATTCTCTTTACCTTTTGTGTTGTTTGCTCTGTGATTATCATCTTAAACCAGCTGAAGAAAGGCTAATAACTTTTCTGATATGGCTCTGCTTTTTTTAGGAGTAGAAGCAGGTCTCGGTCATCACAAAGTCGTCAAGGTCAAGATCAAGATCGAGATCAAAATCTTTCTCACCTGGAAGACGGCGCAGATCTAGATCTCGCAGTGCTACTCCTCCGTAAGTGAATAGTAAACCAAATGGTTTGGCAGTTTAAATTCTTTCTTCTTTTTAGTAAGACTAACCCAATTGGACTCTACATTTTCATCATTCCAATTACTGTGTGCCAGCTATAAAGGCACATTTATGGTTAGCCTTTTATGGTCATGAATGTCATTGGAAATTGCCCACTAGCAACCAGTCATCTACCATGTATCAGCTTACTTGTAGCCCCTACAAAATAATGAACACAGCAACGTTTGGATCTATTGCAAAAACTGTAATCTTGTTTTATAAAGAAACCTCTATGTCCAATATAAATGTATCATTTCTGTCGGTGTGATTCACAGATCCAAGTAAAGGGTGGTCTTTTATCTACAGCTGGCCTGCATTTCTAATCACCGCAGCATGCACTATTTAGGGCTTTAACATATTCTGTTCACTTAAAACTTATCTCCAGGTTTCCTGTCACTTTGAACCAGCTTGGTCCAAAAAAAACTTTTTAAACCCACTATTTCCTTCACTAAGTACTGCATTGGCTCTAAGCGCTGTATGAACTTTATGTAATTTTAGTTCAAGCAGTATACCGTGCTGGGTTCTGCCTGTTAGGCAGAACCTTCCTGTCTCACACTCGGAACAATGCAGAGTCGGCCTGAGTGGCTCACAGCCATTCATAGGTAGCTTTGTCTTCTGTGAATGAATACAAAGCTTCCCCTGATTGGCAGAGTCGTAGATCGTGTCAGCCCGCCTTAGCTAATCAGAGGAAGTTTTGTATTCATTCACATAATACAAAGCTGCCTCTGAGTAGCTGGCACCTTGATATACATGGACACTAAACAATTTGTTTTATATTCTTTATGTTCACAAGGAATGGCAACAAACAACCACTCCCCTGCAATGTAGCCATGGAGAAATTTCCATTTTTTTTAGCCAATAATCCTCCTCCTAATAGTAAAATTGTACTTTTATCACAAAAAAAAAAAAAAAAAGTTCTCCCAGAGTTATCCCAACCCAGGAAAAAAAGCCTATACAACTACTCCCAAGAACTATTGGCTTCAAGTCAATCACTATGTTTATCCTGGAGAACATTCAAAGCTATGGTTTACCTTGAAATAATGCTTCGGCTTTTTCCCCATTTTTACATAATCCCCACATCAATCATACCTCATAACCTAAGCTCTTCCTTTTGCTACCTGAAATGTGGGTACTTTAGACACAGACTTGTTTTTATGCCTTCTTGGTGTGTCCCAAGGTTAGAGATGTAAAATTTCTGGACACTTTAAAGCCATGGGACAAAAACCTTTTTCCCCTGTTTTCTTGGGGAAAAAAATGGAAATGTTTTGAAAAAGTAAAGAAATCATTGTGTTTTACTTATTGAAAGTAATTTTATTACACTAAGAACGTGAAATACAATGTATATAAAAGTATTATGCTTGAAATAAAATTACAGCTTATTCAGGAAATAAACTCAGCTTGCTTTTTAAAATTTGTGATGATCCAGAAGCAGCAGAAAGAGTGTTTCTGGAATGAACTCTGGAGGAAAAAGCTACTTGCAATTTCATTATGGTCCTCCTTTTAATTCCATGAAGTATTCTATAAAGTCTTTAGGGCACCTCCGGCTTGCCAGGATGTGTTTTGTCATCCTTGTAGCATTTGGCAAAGAATATTTATTCTCACAAGATTTGCAAATTGCATCTTTGCTCTCAGTCGATATTCCACTATAGAAACTCCTAGATGTTGGTCTCACCATTTTCACTGAGAGGAGGAAAAGAAAAACATTACTGACCAGACTATAGGTAAACATTATGCTGTGATGGTGGAGAACATTAATAGGAATCATTTAAAGCAGGACTGTCAAACTGGCGGCCCTCCAGCTGTTGCGAAACCTCCCATCATGCCCCTGCCTTTGGCAGTCATGCTTGTAACTGTCAATCTTGCAGTGCGTCATGGGACTTGTTTGGCAACAGCTGGATGGCCACCAGTTTGACAACTGTGGTTTAAAGGTTATAAAGATAAACTAATTTGTCTGACAAATGTACCATCTTACCTGTCAATTAAGGCCTGAGAGGACAGAAACTATCATCTACTGTATCCCAACAATCACTCAGCTCTAGGAGGTTCAAGATGGAGACCACAAGCAAACTAAACTGGTGCATTTTCCCTGCGCTGCCCCCTAGTGGCAAAAATGCATATTTCTATTGTCCTGAGAACTGCATTGAGAAGTACAGTGTTACTTGAATTATATTCCAGGATTTGCTTGTCTTCAGCTGAGAACTAGCAATAATTTAAGACTTTACATAAAGTCACAGAAATCTTTTTTTTTTTTTAAGGTCTTCATGTTATATAGGTTGAATACCATGTCCTAGATCTGTTATTTATCATTGTAAAAGCACATAATTCCACACTACTTCTTGTTCCTGGTTTCCCAATTATTCAGTTTTTTTTCCAGGCTTTCTCATTTCTACCCAAGATTAAATGAATTTGGATCACATTAGTACACTATGCTACCATACACCTTAAAGTATGTGTGAACCCTTACCTTGTAAAACAACTCATTTAATTTAAAATAGAAGTGACAGGCAAACATTTGTGTATGTGTGATCATATTATCCCTGTTCTTAGCTGCATAAATGGTTTAAAGAGGTGTGGGTGGAGAAACTGCAATACACTGATCTTCCCAGTGAATGGCTATGCAGAGAGTGTGTCAGCTCAAGTCTGACCATTGGAGGACAGGCAGGCTGTTATTCCAGCACAGCCATAAAAAAGACCATACTGGGAAAGATGTGCTTCTATCCCCAGCCTGTTCAGTTTGAAATAGGAAAGCAGGAGGCTGACAGGATAGCCAGGTATTTCACACAAAGTAAGCAATGCAAAGAGAACAGGATACTTTTTAACACAAGCACATGGTAAAACACACATCACACAAGTGAGGAATATGAAATGTTTGGGTAATATTTACTTTAACTCTTGAATTGGCTCTTTTTGGGCCTGATAACATTCAAGGTATTAATATTTCAACAATAGTTCACCATCATATTTCTCGTAGCAAGGAAAGCCATTCTACGTAAGTGCTTCTACTGTGAACCCCCCTACCGCTCAGCTTCCAGATAAGCTAGCGTATGTTTTTTCACTTGGAATGAGTTGAGACCTCGTTCCAGAAGGAAAAATGGGTCCAAAAATGTTTTGATGTCTGGGAATTTTTTTCATCCAAACCTTGCCTACTATTACCACAAGTACAATATTTCCAATGCACGCAGTGGTATCAAAGTAGACTAGTAGCTGATGACCCTCTACCTTGCACCTTAACTTTGCTTTTTATCCTGTTCAGCAAGAACAAGGGGCACCCCTCCAATTGGTAGATAATAGATAGACTGCCGTTTATCCATTTACTGCTCAGTGTTTATCTTTAGACCCAGTACTGCTAATCCAACCACAATCTATACTGAACAATGAATAATGCTATTTTTATATTCTTTTCTCCATTGTCAACTGCATTCTCACATTAAAAACAAAAAATATTTTATGGTGTTTCATTTGGGTTTTTTGTTTTATTTTTTTGTAGTTCTTCTTCGGGTTTGGGTTCCACGTCAGCAGGAAATACACCAAGCATCCGTCTTGGGGAGGAGAACAAGGGGCACCAAATGCTAGTAAAAATGGGTGAGTGTTTTGTATCTGCTTTGCCTTTTATCATCCAGGCACATGGAGTATTTATCTATTGTTGCTCTTAAATCTTTAGCTGTCACAACAAAAAAAAGTGTGATGTTTAGGCATGCAGAACAGAGGGCAGTATGACATAGGCATGTAGCATGCACCTGTCTAGCTTTACCTTTAAATGTTTTTTGTTTTTTTTTTTTTTTTTTTGAACACACTAGTGTATAGATACCTTTTGTATGTTGTCCTAACTTCATATATCGCCAGTAATACTCTTTTAAAAGGAAACTTAGTGGTTCTAAAGGCAGAAAGTTTTTGTTTTTTACCTTAATGTATTTTCTGCATTTATGTAAAAACCTTCTGCATGCAGCTTTCCCCGCCAGCTTCCCCCATCCTTCTACATACCTGAGCCCGATCTTAAACCAGCGATGTGCACAAGAGCAGATGCTCTCTCTCTCTCCTCATTGGCTCATAGACTGCAATGGGAGACATTAACTCCCGCTGCTGTCAGTCACAGCCAGTAAGGAAGAGGCTGGGGCCGAGAACCGCTCATGAACACTCAGAGCTGGCTTGGGAGCAAGCATGCATACGTGACCCATAGCAAGCAGCTTGCTGTTGAGGTACTCGGCGAGGGGGGGGGGTGCCAGGAGCGCTATCGGGGGACCCGAGAAGAGGAGAATCGGGGATGCTCTGTTCAAAACCATTGAACAAAGTAGGCAAGTATGACATATTTGTTATTTTTAAAAATAAAATTTAAATTCTTACAATCAATGTAAGTAAAAAAAAAATTGAGAGCGGACCTGTGCTTTATAAATGAAAGGTAAAGCAACAGTTTCACATTAACAGCACCCCCACCAATAACACATACTTGCCTTCACTCCCCTGTGGTCTCTGGGACTGAATAAAAGTACTCATTACTACAAGGAAATTTGTAGGATTGAACTGACTCCCCTCATTTCCTCATGTCAACTCAGGTACTCATCACAGTCCTATAAGGCAAAGAGAAAGTCCTAAGTCCTGTGTTAGGTCTACAGGGCTAATGCATTTATTTTTCAAGTAGAGCCGCAGGGCAATGAATGTAAGTTATAAGTGCGCTGTTGTTGGGGTGTCATAGAAGTAAAGCTTATCTGATCTGCATTTTAAAGTTTGATACCAGATTTTACCTGAAAATAAACATGATTCCATAGCCTGTTTAGCACTTTGTAAATATGTTCTCTAAAAGCTCATTTGTATGTTAAACAGTGGATTCAATTCCCACTGGAAAGGGTTTCTGCCCGACTGTTTAGCAACTGAGCTTTGGGGATATTGCCTAGGGGGAAAGCGAATTTCAAAGACTTAAAGGAGCTGGCCATAGATTCTTACTGAGTAGTAAGATATATATCACACCAGCACTACTCTTGCTGGCAACAACTTGCCAGCCACAGGATCATTATGCAGGAGCAAATACTTGTCCAGACGAGCAAGTTGTTGCTGAGGAAAAGTTACTGTTCACTCATCCTGTCAGAGAGGGAATGACACATTTAACCAACTGAATATTTACTCTGCTCTCCATATAAAGATCATGTCGCGGATAAATGTTGTAAGAGGGATTGCTAGGATGATATGGCCCTAAAGCACACTCTGAGCAGAAAAGAGAAACATGCAAATATTTTCATACTATACATATAAAAAGCATAATTAAAGCTGTATATATATTTCTGCTACAGAAATCATTGAATTTATTGTTGAAACAAAAACATTAATTTTCTCTTTAGGGTGGAGTGGAGCTGGAGGCCTTGGTGCTAATGAGCAGGGTATTCAGGACCCAATTAAAGGGGGAGACATTCGTGACAAATGGGACCAGTACAAAGGAGTAGGAGTTTCTCTTGATGATCCCTATGAAAACTACCGTAGGAACAAAAGTTACTCTTTCATTGCACGAATGAAAGCCAGAGATGAGAGTAAGTACTGAAAAGATTAGGATGTAAATTCATTTTGTATGCTTTTTAGATCTGTTCACAAAGGAGACATTTGGTGTTTGTTTTGTCTGCTCTAAAGACAGTCTAATTGTGTACCTTATTTTGCTCAGGCCTAAAATCTACATTTGTAAAAAAAAAAAAAAATTGTTTAGCTTTTTTAGGCAGGCCTTGGGTCAGCTTATAATACTGGAAAGGAATAGAACTCCAAACTGCTTTTCCTGTGTTGCCAGCTAACCTTTATGGAAAGAGTATGTTACTCAGACTTTATTATCTTGAGCTAGAATGTACTCTGCCTCCCTCCATATCTGCCCTTAAGGAAGGGTGCGTGGGGGGGTTGTCTATCCAGTTTCTAAATGTTGGAGATAGTCTAAAACCAGAAACCTTTCATCTTTATCACAATGTTCTGGGAGATTTTATATAATATAAATTGAAATAAAATATCAATTTACAACATTAAAGAAAGGTATTGTGAAACTGATCCAAAACATTTGATTACCTTTTATGTACAATACCAAATGTGGCCATCCTTTTTACTATTGAATTGAATCTTTTTTTTTTTTTTTTTTTTTTTTTTTGTTTTTTTTTGTTTACATATAACTAAACAACAGAAGCTAACTTTTTATGCACGTCGGTATAGCTAGTTTGATAGTTCAAGGGCTCATTCACAAACATACGGACATATTTCTGCGCTCGGGAGCCACAGGTGATGGTTGTAGCCACTTGTACAAACGATAGACAGGATTTAGCTGTATGAATGTATATGCTGATGCTAGTGCAAACGTGTAAGCTAAAGGCTGTATGCTTCTGGATGTAGACTGTCTGTATGCTCTCACCCCAATACGGGGAAAAAAAATAGGTTCATGGTCTTAAAACAACCTTGTTTTTGTGTGAGATTAAATGGGGCCCCCTACAGAACAATGCTGATAACTCAGAAAACCACCTGGCAAAAGTAATGGTCACAAAAAAACCTACCTTGCAACCATGTCAAGGAATTGTCCTGAATAGGTTCAAAGGTAAGTCTTGTGAAAAATAGAGTTGTGAGCTTTAGGCAAGGTCAAATGACTAAATCCAGAATGCCGATGTCTCTCAGAACTTCCAGGCCATCAAAGCTAGTAAGTAAGCTGGGTAAAAATCAGTCCCTGAGATAATAAATGTGGTATAGGCTATGGAGCAACCACTAACGGACGAATGAGGCTGGTGTACCACATTCTGCCTGGCCGTTCTGAAGCTATCGATCCATAGGAAAAGATGAGTTAAAAGTTTCAGCAGAGGATAGGCATAAATCCACCAGGGACTCTGCTACTTTCGCAATCTGGTCCCACGTCCTAGACTCAAATCTGTCCAGTGTTTGTTGAACAGAGAAGCTGACAAATCTGGAATCCCCAACACAGATATGTCTCAGAACACCTCCTGATGGCAAGACCATTCCTGCAGGTCCAGATGTCTGCCTAAAACCAAGTTACAGATGTGGCATTGAACCGGACCAGATGGGCGATCCAGAAACAGTAACCGATGAATTGATAGTCTTGTAACTCTAGTATGTTGATTGGAAGCTTTGATTCCTCCTAAGAGCAACATCCTTAAACAGATGGATCATCCAGACCTCTGCCTCTATTGGGACTATCTTCTAATATAAAGGAAAATGGGAAAATAAACATGGTGAGACAGACATCACCATGACAGAGATATCTTGGTTTGAGAATGTAGAAAGGTCATCTTGTCCAGAGAGAGACTGGATTTGTCCAACGATGTGAAAATGTTCAGTTGCAATGTTCTCTAGAAGAGAGCAAATGAGACCACTTTGAAGGTGACTGCCAACAATCCCATGCACTTGCTTCATAGGGAAGAAGGATGTACAGATTGAAGTTACCAATCCTGATTCTGTAGGGAGATCTTAGACGTAGAGGTTTTCAGAAGAAATGCCCAAGTACTCTAAGCGATGTGAAGTCTTTCAAGGTCCTCAACTTGGATGATATATTGGAGCTCAAGGTCAGAGTTCTGCTCTTGCAGAAGCAGATCATCTAGGTATCCAATGACTGGAATGCTTCTGAGACAAATACGACCCATAATTAGTGCGAGGCCTTTTGTGAATACAGCCAGGGCCGACCGAGGACAGGGTCACTGATAGAAATGGTTACCCACAGAAAAGCAACAAAATCACTGATGACCTGAATAGATAATAATGTGTTCATATGGATCTTGTATGTCAGTGGATAGGTAGAGAGGCAATAACCAACCAAATATATATCATCTGGAACTTCTGAGACGTGGAGAGCCTTAAAATCCAAAATGGCTTAATGGCTTAATCGGTCAGTGAGGCGGGAGGGGTTGTAGCCTCTAGGGGATTGGTCATCAGTTTTCTATGTGCCCAGTGTGTATTTCTCCTGTAGGCAGCAGTGTAACCCTAGGGTTCTTATCAAACTTTGTTCCCAGTGGGCAATAGAGAAAAAAATTCCTACAAAGAACTTCCTTTGAGGTAATGATCACTTCCCTCAGATAATGGTAGCCTTTCACCACCTCCTAGTAATGCTGATGAAGAAACTAGGGAAGATGGCATGTGGATATTATGAAATATTTTTGCATAGAAAAAAAAAAGATGCTTTAGTTATGCTTGAATGCGGGACATGCAGGGTTAGAAGGGAAAAGGTTTGTAGTAGGTGGTGCTATTAATATTATTGGGTGATGTCGATGTTTTGCTGCTGCCATTGGTCCGATGGGTGGGGGATTGCATGGATTGCTATTATCATTTTTTTGGGGAGATGAGGTCCATGTATGGAAAAAGGTTTGTGGGTGCCGTCATTGTTTTGTTTTCCTGGGCTTGAGTGCAGAGGACATGGATCAAGGAACAAGACAAACCCTGCCCCCTCTGCAATAGACCAATTTGAAAGAGTAAAACACTACTTCTCCTCTGTATTTTAATTCAGCTTTTGTTATTGAAATTTAAGTTTCAATGCAGGTCCTTGAAGATGAAACCTTTAGTATGATTAAATTATTAAACTGACATACATTATGGTTAAGGTGCATAGGCGCAATTTGTGGAAATGCCGTATACCAGTGAACAAGTCATGAATGTATATTCCAGTGATGGAGAGAAACACATGATATTTGTGGTGTTGAAGTGTGTGTAAAGCTGCTTGGTATATTATTGTGTTTGGTGAAAGGATATATAACTGATGTAATATTCTTACAGTTACACGTTCTCCAATCTGGTATGCTAATTATTGGACTGTGTAAGCTCTCCTGTTTATTTTGAACATGGATGCATCTGCTGTTGTGTAATTGTATCCCTGTCTAGTCCCAGTGCCTTTCTATTAGTTGTGCTGTTTAATTGAAAATATATTGCTCAAGTGTTATTTGCTTTGGTGAGCTGTATCTTGGCCTGGTTATGTAAAATACACCTGTTTCATTATTGCAGATTTCAAAGCGGGAGGACCGTTTCCGCCAGGCTCAGGTCCACCAGGAAACAGTGAGTGAGTGTGTTCTGTATTCCCTTGTACATAAATAAATTAAAAAAGAAAAAAAAAAGCTTAACGGTACCGAAGCAGCATTGTTTAACCCCTTCACGCCTAAGTGTAAAACAAATCTTAATGCCTAAGCACAATTTTGCAACGTTGACATGTGATAGTAAAACTGTACATATCACAACTACTTTTGTACATCCAGGTGGATTATACCTTTGTTTTTTTCCAGGACAAATTGTGCTTTCATTTGGTGGTAAATGGTAATGGATATCTCCTGATTTTTTTTTTTTTTTTTTATTATTATCAAAGGAAAACTGACCCAAAATAGTAAAAAAAAAATTATAATTTTTTTAATTTAACTGTGTGCTTCTTGTTACTACCATAACCTACCACCAAAGAACAACCCAAATACATTTTCCAGCTCTTGATGATCGCAGCGATACCATATATGTGTATGTAATTTGTTGTTTGTACCCGTAGCACAGCCCAGAAACAATGGTGCGCATTTTTGTTTTCTTTTACCTAAAGCACACTGATACCAATTGAAGAAAAAAAAAAAATCTTGACCTTTGACACTGACCTTGACCCAACACCTACCCTGGCACTGAACTAGATCAAACCTTGATCTAGGTATTTCTTTATTTCTTTTCTTTTTTTAATTTTTTTTTTTTTAATTTTTCCCCCCCGTCAGAGATAGAGATATAATGTATATCTCTCCTCTATTTATAGAGAGAGAAAAAAAAAGGGGCCGGGACTGTACAGTGACTGATCACTATGATAGCCAATCAGAGGCTATCACAGCACTCATGTGACCCGGAATCTGGAGTCCCAGGTCCCGATTGTTAGCAGGGGACCCGGGGCTCTCAGTAACACCGCGGTCTTTGTGCTGGGAGCGCGCTGTGCGGTGCACTCCCAGCACATAGACAGCTACGCAAATATGTGGCCCCACGGAAAAAAGTCCAGTTTTGTGAGGCCGCATATTTTTGTGACGTCGGCGTCAAGGGGTTAACAAAGCATTGACCATAGTTGTTCCTTACCAAGAGTTTCCATAGAAATGTGCTTTATAGATGTAAGATGACTCTTTTTTTGTAATTCACAGGCTTTTAATGTCTGGTGTCAACATAAGGACCTCTATAGTCTTTTGCTTATTTTTATATTATTCATAACCTTTAGTCCACTTGAGATACTCTCACTATGTCTTTAGGCAACAAAGCAACATTTTTTTTTAGCATGTGCTTGGTGTTGAAAACCTAGAATGTAGTTTATTAATCTTGCGGTGTCATATTATAGTGTGTGCATGTTACTTATTAAAAATATAATAGATTTCATGTATGCTGGAGTCCCAATTAATCTATACTATGTTTAGTTTTGTGTGAAGTCATCCTTTTAATTACAAATGCTTGATGTTTTGTATCAAAATATATCAGTTTCTATTTATTCAAGACCTATGCAGGCCATACACGAGTCGAATTACGAAATAATTTTCTTTTGAAAATCTTTTCTAAGAATTTGTGATCGAATTTTGCACCATTGGTGGGCCACAGCAATGCCAATTTTCGAGCGACCATTGAATTTAAGTGATCAGGCATGTTGGAAATGTTTAGAAAAATGACCAAATTCCTAATCAATGATGGGAGAATCATGCAAGAAATGTATTTGAAGAAGAAATGAACACGAGCTGTGATCTGGAAAGAAAATAAAATTCTTTGCCATGAAAATTCTTTTCTGTAGCAACAGGAGGTCAAATTAAAGGCTTAGTTGGTCGAATTTTGAAATCCATGGTGGCATAATCGGATTACAAAATTTCCGATTTTCTAAAGACAATTTGTTTGAAATTCGACCCATATATGACCTGCAGTAGTTGGACTGATTTACTACAACTGGAAAGTACAAAATTTGGTGCAGCTCACCATAGAAACCAGCTTTCAGTTTAGTTTTTTGTCAAATCTTAATTGAACGAGCTGAAGTTAGAACCTCATTGGCTACAGTGCACAGCTGCACCGGATTTTGCACTCTGCAGTTTTAGTACATTAACCCCAGTGTTTATTTAAACTGGTTACAGACCTATGATTGACATACCTGTTGTTTTCCTATAGTGAAGCGGGAGTGCCAGGATCCACCAGCACAAGAATGACCTAACCCAAGATGAAGTCTGTCCTTTTTAACCAGAATGGTCGCAGTTACTTTTTAGACTCTCCCAGGAGACTGACCTTGAATTTTATCACATATGTTGTAAAGAGTTGCTTCTGGTGACCTTTGCCACTAAATTGGTGAAGTTTTTATTTTTATTTTGTAAATGCAGAGAACACATCTCTGACACTATTTTTCATCACTGGATTACAGACCTGTTTTCCGCTCACAATGAAAAATTGGTCTGTGCCCAGCCCTTACGAATGTTCAGATTACCGTAATAAAATGGTATATTGTCAGCAGAAGGTTCCCCGATATTATCAGGACTGTTCTCACCAGCAATCTCCTTGCTTATTAGTTTTTCAAAGAATTCCTAAAACTACTTTTTAAAACAATGTTGTATTATAGGTATTGAAAACAAAATCTTAAACTGTCAGGAATTTCCACACAAGAAGTGTTAGCTGTATGTTGCTACATTTTGAGCTTTTCTTGCAAGTTAGTATGTAACAAAGTATTTTACTCCCTGCTGATTTTGTGTTCAACAGTGTAACTGTATAATGTAAGTGGAAACATTTGACTGTATGACTTTTTGTTTGTGAACAGCCCTTCTCTGCTTACAAATAATTTTGTAAAATAAACTTGTGAAACAGTGGTACACCATTTTTTTCTTTTAGTTCACTGAATTGCTAAATTCCTCATATATTCTGACATCCTTAAGATTGTATTAGACCCAAAACAAAAAATTTAATATATTGCTGCTTACCAATCATTCGATGTGGTGGCTCCATTCGTTTTCTTTTTTTTAGGCTTTTCCCCCCCCCCCTCTGTCTGCCCAGTAACACATCCCCTGTATTAGAGTGCCTCCACTCTGGATGAAGGAACAACAGTGACACCTTTGGACAACAGCATTGTCAGTCTGGCTTCAGTTTGTTAGTGTATCTAAATCTGCTAGTACATCTCACCCAAACTCCAACTAACACTTTATAAGCAGTTTTTTTTCCTTTTGGGGTTAACAGTGTTACATAAATAAAAGTTGGTTTACCAATGACAGGGGTGTTACAATAGTTTGTGTGATCCCTCTAACTCACACATCTGCAAGAGAGCTCATTCTTTTGAAAAACAGACTTACTGGCTGGATCACCAAATTAAATCAGAAGAAAGCCTAAAAAGAAAACGAATGCAGCCATCACATTGAAGAATTTGTAAGCTGCAGTATAATGTGTGCTTTTGGGTTTTATACCGATTTAAGTACAGATGGTAGGTCAATTCTCCAGGATAGATAAGTAAAGGAATGAGTCATCAGCATAGAGGCTGATCTTGTATGTGCAGGAACCAAGTGTAATGCCCTGTCATTACAATTGTCAATCATTGTACCTGATGGTATTGAGTAGATGTTCCATAACCATGATATAGATGTATAGGGACAGGGGATATCCTTGTCTTGTCTCATTCTGAATCATAAAAGGATAGGGGAGGTGGCCATTTATTGACAGCAGGGGCCTTTTCTCTTTCAAAATAATTGACAATTAACTACATCAGCAAGTAGCTATTAAGCATCATGGACAAATCTCAAAGGGTATGCTGTCCTACAATCTGTGAGTGAAAATTGTCAGTATTATTACCTTCTTCCTATATTAGTGAGGCCATAATTACAGTGTATAACTTAATACATAGGTGTTTTTTTTTTGCACCTAAAGCAGTTATTATTATTATTATACAGGATTTATATAGCGCGAGCAGTTTTGCTCAGTGCAGGTAACTAAACTGCTGCTGATCATTCAGTGGTCAGTACTGCATTCTGAGAATCACTAGATTTTCTAGGAGTCCACTAAAGCAGGACACACAATGATAGGTTTTTGAATGAAAGTTTGTACGAATATTTTTAAAGTGTTACTAAACCCAGGGCCCTGCATTCACTATATCTGGGCTCCTACAGTACACAGAACATGAAAATGCAATTATTTTAGTAAATATAAAACTGCTAAATACCTTTTCTCATCAGCAGTATATAGCAGTCTTGTGACTTCAGCTGAGCACTGGTTGAAGCTTCTAGGAGTTTTCTTTCTGTTCTAGGAGGATGCAAAATCCCTGACCTCTGTCTTGACAGTGTTGATTGGCCCTGTGCTGATCACACGCACTCTCACAAACCAGCACAGTGAAAATACCTGTATGTGATTAGTTTCTGTCCAGCCATTCTTCCAGTTCATAGTCTCTGTCACATGACATAGCCATGATAAGTGACTTAACTTTTCTCTGTAGTGGAGAAAATACAGCTTGGTCCACCTTCCTGCCCACCAGTCTGCTGTTCAAAGAATAAAAAGGGCCCCAACTTTTCACTGTGGCTACTTGCATTTAGAACTGCACGTTAATAGCACAGATATAGCATACATTCCTTCATTTCAATTGTCATACACCTACTTCAAGCTAGGCTCTTCTGGTCTCATGAGTGCTAGGTATGGAACACATGAGTCTATGAAGTGGGGGGGGGATGGGAGACCAAACAGGGATAGCTTTTGTTGGGGCGGCAACACAAATGCCCAGAAGGATTTCACATCTAACATTTATCTAAAAGAAAAATTAAAAAAAAAAAAAGATTCCTATAAGAGGATCACTTGCTTCTTTCAGCTGAAAAAAAATTTGGTTAGGGAACAGTAATATGGCTGTGGGCCATTCAAGGGTCAACCAATCCTGACATTAAAAATACAAAAAAATCAATCTAGGATTGGTATTTCAGGTTGTATAAATAGAAAAACACACTGTCAGGTCTTCCATCAAATATCTGTTATTGTGTTCTCTACATGTGTGTGGTGCAAGCTTCAAAAATGATCTCTCCGGGCCATTAGAAGAAAGGAAGCCAACACTGTGTGCTAGGGTCTGTTCTATTCTCACTAAGAATTGATAGAAACTTAGATTGTGCCACTAAAACTACCTGCCTTGCTTATACCCTCCCACTGTGCATTTTTTTTTTTTTTATTCTAGATTTTTTTTTTTTTTTGCACATTTTGGGACCACCTCATTAGTGCAAATAGTAAAATGGGAGAAAGTAATATAGTTTCAAAGCAGAATTGTGAGCTGGAAAGTGGGTGGAACATTCTAAAGAGTTGATCATATCTGATGGCCTGATAATTTATAGAGTAGCAAAATCACAAGTACTTGGTCTCCTGCAGAGCTATTCACTTTCAGGTTATTCCTAAATCCTGTTGTGGGCTAACAAAAACATGTCAAAGCAGAGTTCCAGCCATCATAGTATTTATTAAAAGTCAGCAGCTACAGAAACTGAGCTGGAAGTGGGAGCGGGTACCTGTCTCACCCCCCCCCCCCCAAAAGCTGCCAAATGGCAGTGTGGGGGGGGGGGGGGGGATAGGAGGCAAATAAGCGGAGCTTCCACTTTTAAGTGGAACTCCAGTTTAACTGAGTGGTGTCAGCTCTGCCCTGCTTTCTTTTGCTAAACTACAGAATCCATTTTGGTGACACAAATTTACTTTTAGTGCTAAGGGAACATTTTCTTTTTGCGATAACTGCATTAGTACAGAGGATACTGGAAAGCTTTCAATTTCTGACATATCAACAGCTATTTTTTAAGCTTATACCATTGAAAGCATTTTGTTAAAATAGATTTATATTTAACAGACTAAAATCGAGAAAATAAGAGAAATTGTTTGTTAGTTTACATACACTTTAACCTACTTGTCTGCTGCCATAGTGAAATGAAGAAAGAAAAATTATGGCAATATTCAGTGTTGCGTTTTTTTTTTTTTTTATTATTGGCACCAGAAACAGTACTTAGATTCAATGTGAATGTCCTTTGTCCCTCATAATTTTCCAGGTGCACATACTCAACACTTTTGACGAGTGTCTGCGACAGGTCCAGCCGATCATATTACTCCCCTGCAGCACTGGACAATTATGCCTGTGCTGGTATGGGATGGCAGAGCACTATGGCTTTAAACTAAGAGCAGCCAGCAGCCCTGAATTTAAGCACCGTCCCTTTTTGCTGTGTTTTTCTTTTTAATTGTGTAACATCAGGCAAACACTGAAAAAATTCTAAGTTTTGTTAAAGTACGATTAGTTGTCTAACATTCAAGTACACATACAGAAGTTGTATTTGCAGGGGACTGGTTGAAGCAGTAGAGGGACCCTGCTGAAATAAAAAATAAGGATGTAGTTCCTCTACCCTTAGACATAATGAGCATTTAACCCTTGCAGTGTGGGGGATCCCACTACAAGAGTGGATTATTTTTATATATGCGCTTTAAAAGACAATCTTTCACAAGGTAGGCAAATAGAGAGTGATGAAAGGGAGCTTCTTCAAAGAGTGACTACCATGTGATATACTAGCTCTGCTTCACTGCTCTGTAACCAGAGGTAGCTAGTGGCCACTACTAAGGAAATTGCTTCTCACCATGCCACAGTAGTTTTCTTTAAATCATCCTTTGGGACAAAACAGGAAATCATGAACGTAATATGTACAGTCTGGAGGAAAGGGGAGACATGAATGAAACCTTTAAATACATCAAGGGGGTGAATAACATTCAGGAAAGCAGTATATTCAATATGCATAAGCAAAGATCATGAACATGGAGGAAAGGACTTCAAACTAGCAGGAGAAAAGTTCAAATCTAATAATAATTTACGGAAAGAGTAGATGAATCTTGGAATAGACTTCCAGCAGAGGTAGCGAGTCAGACAAGAGTAAGTGAATTCAAACATGCTTGGGACAAACATTTACATTCAGGCCAAAAAAAAAAAAAATGAGGCAGACTCAATGGACCACTTGGTCTCTTTTCTGCCATCACTCTTCTATGTTTCTAAATGAGAATGTAACCAGACAGTGACCATAAATGTAACTGAAGTTTCAAAAATGAATCATATTAGGAGAAAAAAAGAGTTTAAAAACCATTGTGGAGAATTATTGAGCTGTATTTTGAGAAACTATAATTTCAGGAAGCTTAGTAATGAACACGGTAGGTCCGATTTAAGAAAACTGGTGCTGTTACCACTAGTGACCAGCTTCCATTTTTCATTCTAGAATAAATGGGAAGTGGACTTAAAGATGAATATTTGGCACAGTAAACAATTTATTTGCCCTGGGTGTCCATCTGCATACATATTTTTCAGTGTGTAATTGCAGAGTACAAGACATCTCAGATACAAGTCTTTGGTTAGCAGCCACCAACAAGGACAATTCAAAATGCAAGCAAATACACGTCATTACTCATGAATGCTTCTTGTTGAAAGATATTTCATGTATTTATAAAAAAAAAAAAAAAAAAGTAAAATTCATAGAATTATTCATAATTTCATTCATAGCTGTTCACAGAATTTTGGCATATTATTATGGGAAGTTAAAAATAAGCTTTTACTGATAATATTACAAATAAGATGGGTGTGTGTATTCAGTCACATACAAAAAGTTTACAAATAGTAGTTGCTTTACACAGTAGAACAACTTTCACGTACATATTTTTTTTATAATTGTAGGTGAGCTGAATTGCTGTCACATTTTCTAGATCACTGCTTGTCTCCAGTTCCATTCATTTCTTCTCTCTGGTCATGTCTCCATTTATGAGCCTTCTGCTGGTTTATGTACTGTGGACAAGTAGAAAAGATTTACAAATAAAATTACATATTTACATGCTTGCCCTTCCATATTTTGTCATTTATTACTGAGATTTTAGAATAACCAATAGAAGAAGCAAACACTTTATTTGAAATCACTATCCACCTCCATGGAGTGACCATGTTTGAGGCTGAGGTTATAAAAGGAAAGAATTATTACACATTATCTGCCATCCTGCTTCCTTATGAGAGACACTTGTCTTTCCTTTTATAACCTCGGCCTCAAACATGGTCACTCCATGGAGGTGGAGGGTTTCATTCCGGAGGGCTGTAAAGTGTTTGCCATTAACTTGAGAACAGATGAGAAGAATTTTAGGCTCTATTTACACCAATGTGGTTTTTAGTGCTTTCTGCAGAAATGCACTACAGTCTATTTAACATGGTTTCCTATGGAACAGTTTACATCTATGCTTTTTTGAGCTGCTGCGTTTTCAGAAAGGGTCAGGGACTTTTTTTAAAGCAAAAATCTGCATTTTTGCTACAATATAGTTCAATGGAAAAGCTGCTGAAATACATGGTAGTGTGTTTTTGCCGCATTTTGCATTTTTATTCTGCCAGCAACAGAAAAAAATTCCACTTTAGCAAAAAGAAAAAGTGCTGAACAAAAAAGCAAAAACATGGTAAAACCGCATCAAAACCGTGTGTAGAAAAATGCAAAGCAAACTGCAAAACGCAATGGAGAAAGCAAAATGTACATATGTGAACCAAGCCTAAGATCCCAAGATGACACATAAGGTTGAATTGGGTAATATATATGAACAACTCCCTGAAGAAAAATCTTGATAAGGATTTGCAAGGCAAGAGATTCTGGAATAAAATGGATAAAGAAGAAATTTGTCTTTTGAGGGTATTCAAAACCAGACAAAGGCTTAAATGTGCGTGCAGACTATTCTGTAGGACTCGGCTTCCTAAGTACTTCTCAGAGGTTCCACAGTCCAACACTTTAGCCAAAAGTGTCCTTTGCATGCAAGAGGAGACTCAAGTGAGAAATGAGAGAGCAGAAACCTGTAACAACCTGTCCACACTGTAGCTCAGAGCCACAAGCACCTGTTCTAAACATTATATGAGCAAAGGATCATCTGCTACAGTAATCATACCCTGATAGCCTTAGACCAGTCAGTCTATGCTTTACAGATCAAGGTAATGGCTGAAACAGGTTGCAAAACAGGACTTGAATGAGAAAACAGGGCTGATCAATGGGGCCCCTAAAGACAGGTGCATCCTCTACTGGAGCAGTAAATGCTTTGTTAAAACAGAACACTTAAAGTCTTCCTGAATAGATACAAACCTAAAAAGCACTTGTCAGGATGTTTCCAAACTCCACAGAGAAACATTGAGAACAGCAGGTGCAAAGGATGGTCTGGAGAGGCCTAAGAGCTCTAAAGGATCCTAAACTGGTAGAAATGACATGCTGATCTTCTAGTGTGAAGGTGGTACATACCACATCTACGAGATCAGAAACTGTCGCTTTTAGCTTGGGGTCCATGGCAGAAGACTGCAACACCTTAGAGACAGGTTCATCGGGCAAGGATTGTAGAGACTCAGCATCAGACAGAGTATGCTCAGAGGCCATTAAAGCTTTGGGCAGATTAGATATGGAACCTGTGGAAGTGCACTTGCGGTCTCTGTGTTTCAAGTCAGAAAACATCTTTGCTTTGGCCCAAAAAATCATACATGACTGAAATAAAAACCTCCCTGGACAGAGCAGAGGAGGTGACCATGTCTGATAAAGCTAGGAAAAACCCAGAAAATGGCATAAACTAAAAGCAAAACGCACAAAGATTCCAAGCTGCAGCCGGCTGCACCAGCTGGCATGCTGCAAGCAACACTGGAGCCATTAGTGAAATGTGAGCTGGGGGGGCATTCAGTACAGTGGAACTATTCCCCTTGCTTCTAACATCAGACTTGCTGCTTGTGGAAATGCAAGGTACAGTTGTGTCCAAAATTATTCAACCCCCAATGCTGTAAAGGGGTTTAGGGACTATAGTGTACATTTGGAATTGTATTCAGAATCAAATCCTACAAGGACGTTGTAACTACCCAAATGCAACTAAAATGACATCAATTGTTTATGTAATACAGTAGTAAATGGTTCTTATGTGGTTTCTTCATGCCACAATTATTCAACCCCTTAAAGACTACCACTCTGAAGAACAGAGGTTCATACAGGTGCTTTCCATCAGGTATTGAAAACACCTGTGGATGTCACCGAGCAGCAATCAAGCATAATAAGCACCAATTAGGCAGCTTTAAAATGACTGTGATACTCAGCTCCTTCTAGACATTTACTGGTGTGGTTACAAACATGGTGAAGGCAAGAGAATGGTCCAGGAAGACAAGAGAAGAGGTGATTTCTCTTCACAGGAAGGGCAATGGCTATAAGAAGATTGCAAAGATGTTAAACATACCAAGAGACACCTTAGGAAGCATCATTCGCAAATTCAAGGCAAAGGGCACTGTTGAAACGCTACCTGGTCGTGGCAGAAAGAAGATGCTGACTTCGACTGCTGTGCGCTACCTGAAGCGTAGAGTGGAGAGAAGTCCCCGTGTGACTGCTGAGGAACTGAGAAAAGATTTGTCAGATGTGGGTACAGAAGTTTCAGCCCAGACAATAAGACGCACACTGCGTAATGAAGGCCTCCGTGCCAGAACTCCCAGGCGTACCCCCTTGCTGTCTCCAAAGAATAAGAAGAGTCGACTGCAGTATGCCAAAAGCCATGTGGACAAACCACAAAAGTTGTGGGATAGTGTTCTGTGGACTGATGAAACAAAATTAGAACTGTTTGGGCCCATGGATCAACGCTATGTTTGGAGGAGAAGAACAAGGCCTATGATGAAAAGAACACCTTGCCTACTGTGAAGCATGGTGGAGGGTCAATCATGCTTTGGGGCTGTTTTGCTTCTGCAGGTACAGGGAAGCTTCAGCGTGTGCAAGGTACCATGAATTTCTCTTCAGTACCAGGAGATATTGGATGGAAACGTGATGCAGTCCGTCACACACCTGAGGCTTGGGAGACGTTGGACCTTTCAACAGGACAATGATCCCAAAGCATACCTCCAAGTCCACTAGAGCATGGTTGCAGAGGAAGGCTGGAACATTTTGGAGTGGCCATCGCAGTCACCAGACTTAAATCCGATTGAGAACCTCTGGTGGGACTTAAAGAAAGCAGTTGCAGTGCGCAAGCCTAAGAATGTGACTGAACTGGAGGCCTTTGCCCATGAAGAATGGGCGAAGATACCCGTAGATCGCTGCAAGACACTTGTGTCAAGCTATGCTTCACGTTTAAAAGCTGTTATAACTGTAAAAGGATGCTGTACTAAGTACTAAGATTGAATGTCACTTGGGGGTTGAATAAAACTGATAATGCTGTGAGCACAGAAAAGACATTTGTGGTTATTTCATTATAACTGTTATGTTATATTTGTCTGACCTACAAGTGCCTCTTTAATGTAAATGTAAGCAAGATGACTGAATGATCAAAAGCAATGTCAAACTGGCCAAAACACTCAATTTCAGTGGGGGTTGAATAATTTTGGTCACAACTGTATATGAGGGTATAAAGGCAAGTCCTCGGGTACTTACAGACCCAACCTCTGGCAGCAAGTGTAGGGTCAGACGAACAGACTGTAGATGGGAGTTTTAGAAGGCCAGCAGGAGCATCAGCTGGGAGATGCTTTCTAGACATTTGCGAGAAAGAGACCATGCAGCAACACACTCCACAGAGCAGTAGATGCAGAATACCTCAGTGATAACCCCTTTCTCAGTACAAAAACCAACAGAGAGTAAAAAACTTATAAACTGAAGGTGTTCAGTGCAACAAGTACCTCCTGCTGCTCAGCCAAAACAGCCTTCTCATTAAGTGAAACTGCAAGAGTTGAGGCATTGCCAACAACTCTAGACCTGGAAAGTGCTCTGTGACCTAGTTTTGCCTGAACAGGGTCTAGATCAGGGGTGGGCAAACTTTTTGACTTGAGGGCCGCAATGGGTTCATATATTGGACCCGGAGGCCAGACCAAGAGTAGATGAATGATGTTTATGTGTCATCCATAGTAAGTATAGTAATATTCCCCCATAGTAAGCATAGTAATTCATCCCCCATATAGTAATTCATCCCCCATATAGTAATTCATCCCCCCAGTAATTCATCCCCCACAGTAATTCATCCCCCATATAGTAATTCATCCCCCATATAGTAATTCATCCCCCATAGTAATTCATCCCCCATATTAAGTCCCCAAGTCCCCCCTGTGTCAATTCACTTACCTTTGCTCCGTGCGTTCCTCTCGCCGTGTTCCCGCGCCGTTCTGGTGTAGCATGAAAATCTGTCTCCTATGAGGATCTGTCCCCCTCGACGTATCTGCGCATGTGCCAGTTTCAGGCATTAGCAGCCGATCGGCGATCTCCGGCACATGCGCAGATACGTCGAGGGGGACAGATCCTCATAGGAGACAGATTTTCATGCTACACCGGCCTTCAGGGCGGACTGTGAGAGGAGCCTAGCGGAAGCCTAGCTCCGCGGGCCGGATTAAAAGGGTCCGCCGGGCCGTAGTCGGCCCGCGGGCCGTAGTTTGCCCATTGCTGGTCTAGATCGTGTTCTTAAAGCGGAGTTTTCAGTTGATTTAAAAAAAATAAAAAGGCAGCAGCTACAAAAACTGTAGCTGCTGACTTTCAAAATACAGACACTTACCTGTCCCACAATCCAGCGGTATCCTCACCATGGGGCTGGTTTCACCAGCAGTCTTCTTCTCCCGCGGTGCTGGCGTCTTTAGTGCGGGCACCCGGCTGTGACAGCTGGGTGCCCACTGCACATGTGTAAATAGCGCTGCGCTTTGTGAATGGTCCCATAGTCTTCCGGGACCTTTCACGTGTCCCAGAAGACTATGGGAGGGGGGACGGGGGGGTTGGGAACAACTTCTTAGGCGACCCCAGTGGGAGTGGGCACCTGCCAAATTCGGGTACCCGCTTCCCGAAGGTGCCAATCCTTAACCATTTCAATACCATGCAATTTTACACCTTCCTGCCCAGGCCAGTTTTCACGTTTCAGCGCTTTCACACTTTGAATGACAATTGCGCGGTCATACAACATTGTACCCAAATTAAAATTTTATCATTTTCTTCACACAAACTAGAGCTTTCTTTTGGTGGTATTTAATCACCGTCGGGGTTTTTATTTTTTGCTAAATTAACAAAAAAAGACCAAAAATTTTGAAAAAAAAACAAGTTTTTCTTTGTTTTTTCTGTTATAAAAGTTTACAAATAAATAATTGTTCTTCATAAATTTAGGCCGAGATGTATTCTACTACATGTCTTTGGTGAAAATAACCCAAATTAGGATGTATTTTTTAGTTTGTAGGAAAGTTATAGAGTTCACAAACTATGGTATAGATCTGAAAATTGATCAATCCTGAAGTACTGACAGCCAAACTAATTTCTTGAGGTCCAAGAATGTCAGAATAGTACAGATATCCCCCAAATGACCCCTTTTTGCAGAGTAGACAGTCCGACGTACTTCATAAGAGGAATGGCGAGTTTTTTGAAGTTGTATTTTTTTTTGTCATAATTTTTCGGAAAATGAAAAAATTAAAAAAATTATTTTCACTATTTTTTTTTTTTTACATATTGTCACCAGTGCAGTACAGCGTCATCATATAACTGGCATGGCGGTGAACAGGGACACTGACTGGTGACAGTATGAAAAAAAAATATATATTTTTTTTTTTTAATTTTTTTTATTATTTTTAATTTTTTATTACATTTTTTTATTTTATTTTTTTTTTTTAATTTTTTCATATTTTACTATGACCAAAGTAGTACAATGTTACCATAGTAACATTGTACTACTTTGGGGAAGTGATCAGTATTGTTTTTTTTTACACAATTTGCTTATAGCAAAGAATTACTTTGCTATAAGCAAGCATTTACCTGAATGACATCGATTCATTCAGTTGTTTTTTTTTTTTTTTTTTAGTGCTTAGCTGTGATTTCGTCACAGCTAATCACATGACATGTGCATGTGATTAGCTGTGACCATTCACAGCTAGGCACTAGTATGCAATGGATGGCATGAATGAAGCCATTTATTGTATACAACTGTCATGTGACCTGCTGTGATTGGTCACAGCAGGTCACATGGTACCAGCAACGGGGGTCGGTACTCAGATCTGTCATCGGCTGTGTCCGAGGTACACGGCCGGTGACAGATTGTGCCGCTCTGCAGTTGCGCGAACTGAGAATGTGCAGGAGCACGCCAAATGGCGTGCACCCGGAATGCAGAAGCACTTTTGCCGCCGCCAAACGGCCATTGGCCAGGTGGCAAATGGTTAATGGGGAGCGGGGGACAATGCATTAAGGCGGAACTTCCACTTTTGGAAAATCATTTCCAGACTAGCCCCTCAACATTTAGTCCAGCAGGATCTGGGAGCGGTGTTCCAAACCTATGCTGAGAGATAACCAATCCAGATAGCTACCATGTAGGAACCAGATCAAGCAGCAATGTAGTAAGGAATCTGACTGAAGAAACATAGAAGATAAAAAGCGAACAAGAAATGGATAGACTGAAGCTAACCTAGTTTTTTTTTTTTTTTAAATAAAATAGTGCAGCGCTAAATTGAGGATTCAAATTATAACCACAGGAGGAATAAATAAGCAATAAAATATGAGCGTACGTATGAGTATTAATACATATGGATATAGAAAACATATGAGTATCAATCCTGAACAGTATAAAATACTTTACTATTGCGCGTCCGGTGAGTGTGCAATTCTTCCGCTATCACAAGCGCCATTTGAAGCTTTGGGGACTTTAAGAGCACTATTTAGTCACCATTACGGATTACTTTTCCCAATGTTATTTTATACTGTTCAGGATTGATACTCATCATTTGTTTCTATATGTATTAATACTCATAAGTACTCTCATATTTTATTGCTCGTTTATTCCTCCTGTGGTTATAATTTGAATCATCAATTTAGCGCTGCACTATTTTATTTACTGATTTCATTAAGGTTTTGTTGGTTACCTTGAGTGCACAGCTGCTGACGGGTCAGCGCTCGCTTCTTACACTTTTATACAGTTTTTTTTTTTTTTGTTTGCCAGTGTCCAATCTTCCACTAGACGGCAATCTGGAATAGTGGAAAGTGGAACAGACTCCCTCAAGAGCTGGTTCTGGCCAGCTCAATAGATTGCTTTAAAAAAAGGCCTGGATTCTTTCCTAAATGTACCGAATATAACTGGATACTAATATTTATAGGTAAAGTTGATCCAGGGAATATCAGATTGCCTCTCGAGGGATCAGGAAGGAATTATTTCCCCTGGTGGAGCAAATTGGATCATGCTTTGCTGGGGGTTTTTTCCTTCCTCTGGATAAACTGTGGTATAGGATTGTGTATATAGGACTGTAAACCGTTTTTGTTTTTCTTTTTATAGGTTAAACTAGATGGAATTGTGTCTTTTTTCAACCAGACTATGTAACTATAACACAAGGGTTAATGACTTCCTGTGTCCCACAATGGACAACCAAGAAATCTTGCCGATTACTGAAATTCTGGCTCAGAAATGACACTTATGTAAATCTTAGTGCCTGTGCAGTTCCTGGCTATGCTTACAAACGATCTGACCCTGCTGCAGGCTCTCTCCTTGTCATTTACTGCAGGGTTACAATGTTGCAGTCTAAACAATCTGGCACAGCAGGTGATGGAAATGCTTTCTCTTGCCTACAACAGACTGATGGCATAATTTCATCTGAGGCTAAGTAATTTGGAAATCAAGGACACCTTTCTAATGATAAAAAGATGGAGCTTTTTTAAATTATACCGCTTCTATATGGTGTGACAATACTCATTACTAACAAGTTTACAGGAAACGCTTATATTTGTGTATAATGGATTTGTGGACTGACTTCTGTTAGACTGCAGACCCAGGACTTGTCAAGTCTAAAATAAAAGAATTATTTACAGGAAGGGATTCAAAATCAATTCCCCTTAATTCTGCACAAGAAATCAAAAGGTAAAATCTGATTGCACCTCAAGTTCCTAAGAACGGTCTCCATCTTAAAATTTACAAAACATAGGGGATAGACCACAAAGATGGAGCTATCAAATACTGCTACTTGCTCAAGGGGCTGCTGGCATAAGGTGCCTTTAAATATTACCCTTTTGAGGATAAACACTTCTTTCAAAGCTGCTTTGACTCCTGCAATGGTGTCAACCTTCCAAATTATACTATTTGGACACACTGGGATAGATTAGAACCTTTTTTTTTTTATTGCCATCTGTTTCCTATGCAGAAATTTGCTTTTACTTTCTCTGACCAAGACAGAAATAAAGGAAAATGGTAAAAAGCTTGCAGCTGCCACCAAAACAAGTAGAAGGGAAATCTTCCAATGGAGATACATGTTCTAGTGTCAATGGTCAAAGGCACGATTATTTTGGGAAACTTACTTATTGCTGCCGGTTGTGTCTCTAGAAAGCAAGTAATGGCAATCCCATTAGGGTCAAATGCAGCAGAGAAAACACAACAGAACTTCAAAGCCTCTCCCACTTTTTCTTAAACAAGGCTGGAGTTAAATTTTAAGATTGCCAGGCAGAGAGAAGTAAAACCAAGTGCATCTGAAAAGTAGCTCAAAATGTTTGAAACCAGCAATCAACTAAACCTCCTGTATGATCTTGTTTTTACCTGCTTTGTGTCCTCAAATGTGGTATATTGATAAGTCTCACTCTCCAGAGATTTCACTGTGGAGATGTACAGCTGTCGAGCCATGTCCACAAAAGTCTGAGTAAGGAGCAGCTGTTGTTTCAACATGTCATTCAGTGCTAGAGCCATTGGACTGTATGTGGTCAGAGCTGGTGGACAATAAACAAAAATGAGTCAAACGAGAAGTTTTCATAAACTATAGGTCATATGGAGCCTGAAGACAAAAATATGCTAGCAAATATGGGTAAAAAGAACATATCAGGAATAGGCATTTGTAAAACGGATTCTCCATCCTTAGGGCCAATGTTGAGTGGAATCTTTTCTCCTAAGAACTGCTTCTCTCCCCATACATGACTAGGGAATGTAAAAGCAGTTGAAGCAGGCCATATGAAGGTCAACTGCACCTCCAGTGATTTCTGAACAATCTCAAACTGTGAAAAGGACACTGAATTTGTCAAATATCATAGAGTTTGATATGATCACTCATGTTCTTACAAAAATGGTCTGCACATTACAAATTCTGCCAGGTGAATGTAAATTTATGAACACAACTATACTCACATCTAAACTATTTTGCCAAAAGTATTGGGCCAGCCCTCCAAATCATTGGATTCAGGTGTTCCAATCACCTCCATGGCCACAGGTGTATAAAATCAAGCACCTAGGGATGCAGACTGCTTCTGCAAACATGAAAGAATGGGTCGCTCTCAGGAGCTCAGTGAACTCAAGCGTGGTACTGTGATAGGTTGCCACGTGTGCAATAAGTCCATCCGTGAAATTTCCTTGCTACTAAATATTCCACAGTCAACTGTTAGTGGTATTATAACAAAGTGGAAGCAACTGGGAACAACAGCAACTCAGCCATGAAGTGGTAGGCCACGTAAAATGAAAGAGTGGGTTCAGCGCATGCTGAAGTGTACAGTGCGTAGAAGTCGCCAACTGTCTGCAGAGTCAATAGCTAAACTTCATGTGACCTTCAGATTAGCACAACAGTGCGTAGAGAACTTCATGGAATGGGTTTCCATAGCCGAGCATCTATATTCAAGCCTTACATCACCAAATGCAATGCAAAGTGTCGGATGCAGTGGTGTTAACCATGCCGCCACTGGACTCTAGAGCAGTGGAGATGAGTTCTCTGGAGTGACCAATCACGCTTCTCTGTCTTGCAATAAGATGGACATGTCTGGGTTTGGCAGTTGCAGGAAACCGGTACTTGCCTGACTGCATTGTGCCAATGTCAAATTTGGTGGAGGGGGGGGGATTATGATGTGGGGTTGTTTTTCAGGGGTTGGGCTTGGTTCTTTAGTTCCAGTGAAGGGAACTCTTAAGGCATCAGCATACCAAGACATTTTGGACAATTTCATGCTCCCAACTTTGTGGGAACAGTTTGGGGATGGCCCCTTCCTGTTCCAACATGACTGCGCACCAGTGCACAAAGCAAGGTCCATAAAGACATGGATGAGCAAGTTTGGGGTGGAGGAACTTGACTGGCCTGCACAGAGTCCTGACCTCAACCCGATAGAATAACTTTGGGATGAATTAGAGCAGAGACTGTGAGCTGTGAGCCCGGCCTTCTTGTACAACATCAATGCCTGACCTCACAAATGTGCTTCTGGAAGAATGGTCAAACATTCCCATTGACACACTCCTAAACCTTGTGTACAGCCTTCCCAGAAGAGTTGAAGTGGTTATAGCTGCAAAGGGTGGGCCAACTCAATATTGAATCCTACGGACTAAGATATAAAAGTTCATGTACAAGTAAAAGGCAGGCGTCCCAATACTTTTGGCAATATAGTGTATATACCAGTTTTAGGCTAGATTTAAAGTTAAAGCAAAAAGCAAATGCACCCACATGGATTTAAAAAAAAAAAAAAAGGAAGCATTTATTAATATAGGATACAAAAAACATAAATTAATAAAAATAAATAGTATTATTTATTAATATAACTAACATTTTGCATGTGAGCATAAAAACCATTAAACTTGCAGTCAGGGGATCACGAGTGCAATGCACAGGCTCTTTCAGACTATTCCTCCAGGTACAGGTCCGTGCTGAGGGTAAGGACCTTTGGTTATGGGGCTTGAGAGAGCATCAATGGACTACAAGTGCAGGGACTTCACCATACTTGTACTCCCTTGAGAACTACAAGCCCCACAGATCTGTGAATGGATGATGCAACTTAACTGATCTCCCTGTGCCTGTGTGGGTTTCCTCCGGGTACTCCGGTTTCCTCCTACATGCCAAAGACATGCTGGTAGGTGAATTGGCTCCTGTCTAAATTGTCCCTAGTATGTGTATGTATGAATGTGAGTTAGGGACCTTAGATTGTACGCCCCTTGAGGGTTAGGGACTGATGTGAATGTACAATATATATGTAAAACGCTGCATAAAATTGACGAACCTATACAAGTACCTGAAATAAATTGAAAGAAAAAAAAATAAATAAATATATGACAGGAGCATGCAGGGAGAAGAATCCTTCATCGTTTCAGGGTCATGCTTAACATAAAATGTGGTCAGAAAGTTGGATTTAGCTTTTAAAAAGTTGTTATGCCAGTTTGTTTATGAACAAGCAAAATAAATTACCTTCAATTAACTCAGGGCTCACCACATGACTCACTACTGAAGCTGGCTCCACAGCAATGGAGGGAGCAATAGGTCCAAATCCAATGGTTGCTATGTAAGGCAGAGAAAAAAAACTCATTTATAATATTACAATAAAATGAAAAGAAAGAAGAAAAAAAAAAAAAAAAAAAAAACCGTGGGACATTTCAAAATTGGTATGTGTAGACATGGTTAGGACTAAAATTAGAAATGTAAACATTTTTAATTTATTCAGTTAAATATAAAAATATTGCATATTATCAAGTCGCCTGTGTAGCTCTAGGCTCAATGTCAAATGTTTACTCTATCTGCTTACCATTTGTAAACAGCCTGTTTGCAGAGCTCAGGATTTAAAGGCATAGTTTACCTTTACAAAATAAAACAAAAAAAAACAACACACACACACTATGCAGATAAGGGGTGTCTGTAGATAAAAACAAAATTGTGCAGCTTTGACCAAAGTTGAATAATACCCTTGCTATAGGTGAAGGCCATTTATGTGCCTCATGAAGCCTGACTGGAAAACTACTAGGATGTTGCCAAGTCACCTCAGCTCTTACTGTTAACCTCCACCATCACAGGAGTAAGCTCCTTCCCTGATTTAAACCTCCTCACATGCATGTTCTCTCCTCTGATGCAGTAGCCCTGAGCTCAGAGTTTGTGAGGTGGAAGTGAACAGCAACAGCTAGGAGTCTCTTAGCAACATCCTAGGAGTTTTCCAGTCAGGTGCCATGAGGTACGTAGATGGCCTACACCTATAGCAAGGGTATTATTCCACTTTAGGCAGAGTTGCACAGTTTGTTTTTATCTACAGACACCCCTTATCTGCATAGATAGTTTTTTTGTAAAGGTGAACTAACCCTTTAACCACTTCCCGACCGGCCGTTGTATATAAACGACTGGACGATGGCACTGCAGGGTCGGGTGGCCGTTTATAAACGGCCTCCCCACAGCCTGCTTGTGCGCGCTCCCTGGGAGCACGCAGCACCACGATCTGGTGCCCGCTGTGTTCTCCGGACACAGTGAAACACCGATTGTCGGACAAGACCACTGTACGAGGTCCCGGTCATGTGATCACTGATTGGCCAATCAGTGATCACATGCAAAGTAGTCAGCAAGATGTCACTTGTGACATCATTGCTTACTATGTGTGAAATCTGTGAATGATCACAGAGGTCACATGGTACAAGGCTATTCACAACAGCCTTGTACCATGTGACAAGCTGTGACCAATCACATCTCACTCAGTACTTCTCAATGGCTGCAAGAATGCAGACAGAGAGAAAGAGAAATTATTGCTTTTACATCCTATATGGGTGTAAAAGCAATCAGTGTAAAAAAAAACAAAAAACTTCATCACCCCCCACAAGTAGTACCATGGTGACACTGTACTGCTAGGGTGACAGTATGTAAAAAAAAAAATAAAAACAAAATTAAAAAAAATAAAATAAAAATTTAAAAAATTTTTTTAAAAAAATTATAATTTTTGGTTATAAACTAATTTGGATTTTTTTTTTACTAAAAAGATAACAGAATAAATTTTGGCCAAGATTTATGATGAAATATTATTTATTTGCAAAATTTTATACAAAAAAAACCCAAAAAACTTTTCTTCAAAATTTTTGGACTTTTTCATTTACATAGCAAAAAAAATAAAAATTCCAGCAGTGAATAAATACCACCAAAATAAAGCTTTATCTGTCTCGAAAAAAAAAATGGTAAAAAATTAATTTGGGTACAGTGTTGCATGACTGCGCAATTGTCATTCAAAGTGTGATAGCGCTGAAAGCTGAAAATTGCCCTGGTCAGGAAGGGGGTAAAAGTGTCCGGTCTGGAAGTGGTTAAAAGCTGAAATCTACACAAAGTGAAGAAGCCAGAGCAGTGACTCATAAGGTTTCAAACCTGAGATTTAAAACAGAAGCCAACTTCTGGAAAGGTAACTACTGTGCCATTTCTAAACAATTCTGTTCTGAAAAATCATTCGTCATGTGTTTAAATCTTTATTTTAAAATATAATGTTTTAAACTACATAGTATTAAAAAAAAAAAAAAAAACAGAAAAAAGTAAATTATTTACAAAAACTTTACAAATAAATACAATAGACATAAAAATTAACCACTTGCACTCCAGAGGATTTACCCCCCTTCCTGACTAGGCCATTTTTTGCAATACTGCACTGCATTACTTTAACTGACAATTGTGCGGTCATGCAATGTTGTACATAAAATTAAATTTACAGCCTTTTTTTCGCACAAATAGAGCTTTCTTTTGGTGTTATTTGATCACCTATGTGGCTTTTATTTTTTGCGCTATAAACAAAAGACCAACAATTTTGAAAAATAAAAAATAACTATTTTATCTAGTAAAAAAAATTAAAAAAAAAAATCAAATTTTGTCAAATTTAGGCCAAAATGTATTCTGCTACATGTCTTTGCTAGAAAAAAAAAATCTCAATACGTGTAAATTAATTGGTTTACATTCAAGTTATAGTCTTTACAAATGGCGGTATAGATACTGGATTTTTTTTTTTTCAATAGTAATGGCAGCGATCAGCGATTTATAGCAGGACTGCGGTGGGCATTGACACTGGGGTGGGGGGGGGACTGACTTGGTGTCACTGACATCTCCAGTGGCACCAATACAGTGATCAGTGCTAATAAAAAGCACTGACATTGTATTAATGGAACTGGGCAGGAAGGGGTTAGCATGTGGGTCGATCAAAGGGTTAACTGTGTGCGTGTTTACATAGTTAGTCTGGCTGAAAAAAAGACAAAAAAGTTCATCAGTTCAACCATAAAAAAAAAAAAAAAAAGTTATAATCCTACACCGACAGTTGATCCAGAGGAAGGCAAAAAACCCAGCACAGCATGATCCAATTTGCTCCTGCAGGGGAAAAATTTCCTTCCTGATCCCCCGAGAGGCAATCAGATATTTCCTGGATCAATGTTACCTATAAATGTTAATATCCAGTTATATTCTGTGTATCTAGGAAAGAATCCAGACCCTTTTTGAAGCAATCCACTGAGCTGGCCAGAACCAACTCTTGAGGGAGTCTATTCCACATTTTCACAGCTCTTACTATGAAGAAACCTTTCCGTATTTGGAGATTAAATTTCTTTTCCTCCAGACGTAAAGAGTGCCCCCTTGTCCTCTGTGATGACCGCATGGTGAATAGCTCTACACCGAGTTCACTATATGAACCACTGATGTATTTATACATCTTGATCATATTCCCCTTAATCTCCTCTTCTCAAGAGAGAATAAATTCAGTTCCTCTAATCTTTCCTCATAGCTGATCTCCTCCATGCCTCTTATCAGTTTGGTTGCCCTTCTCTGTACTTTCTCCAGTTCCCCAATGTTCATTTTGTGAATTGGTGCCCAAAACTGAACCTGCATATTCCAGATGAGGTCTTACTAATGATTTGTACAGGGGTGATATGATATCTCTCTCTCTGGAGTCTATACCTCTTTTAATACAAACAAGAGAGGATTTTGCTCGCTTTAGAAACCGCAGCTTGGCATTGCATTCCATTATTAAGCTTGTGATCTACCAGAACTCCCAGATCCTTCTCCACCATTGATTCCCCCAGTTGTACCCCCCTAGTATGTATGATGCATGCATATTCTTAGCCCCCAAGTGCATAACCTTACATTTATCAACATTAAACCTCATTTGCTACATAGTTGCCCAATTAAACAGTGCATTGAGGTCGGCTTGTGAATTGGAGACATCCTGTAAGGACGTTATTCCACTGCACAGCTTGTGTCATCTGCAAAGACTGAAATGGGATTTTTAATTCCAGACCCTATATTGTTTATAAATATATTAAAAAGTAAGGGTCCCAACACTGAACCTTGGGGTACACCACTGATGACCCCTAGACCATTCAGAGTATGAATCATTAACCACTACTCTCTGAATACGATCTTTTAGCCAGTTTTCTATCCATTTACATATGGATTTTTCCAAGCCCGTAGACTTTACCTTACACATTAGCCATGTGTGGGGAACTGTGTCAAACGCTTTTGCAAAATCCAAGTATACCATGTCCACTGTGTTTCACTGTAAGCACACTGCTTTGTACGGCTCTGCATAGCAGAACCATACAAAGTAGTGTACAGGAGCTGACAGGGGAGAGATCTGTATTGTTTACATACAGGTCTCTCCTCCGTCAGAAATCCTAGGAGATCGCCAGGTGATGGCGGGCAATCACCGGAACTGGTGATTGACAGCCGAGGCCGCGAACGCCCCCTACGCGGAACTGCAAAATCACATACTGTACATACATACACATATATATATATTATATATATATTTCTGTATTTCTGCTATACGGCAGCATGGAAGTGGTTAAAATTGTAAATAGTTAATAAAATAGAATTACCTTGTGGCCAGCTGTAAGCGAATTCAGCATCATTTGTCTGTACAGACGTTTCTCGTCGTACAACAACTCGTGTTTTATGGGATTGTTTTTTATGTTTTGATTGGCTAGGCTGAGGATAAGAATGGCTAGAGGAAATGCTGGAAACATCAGAGGATACGGATTTAGGGAGGGAATATGAGTAAGAGCTCGAACTGAATGCATTGTCAGATGGCACAGAATCTTCAAAATCTTCAGAATAGACAGAATGAATAGTAGCATCATCAGGTCGCTCTTGATTGTAGTGCTCAGAGCTAGAGTGATCTTTGTGATGATGCTTTGACACATCTGATTTATTTGTCTCTGTATGTATTTCAAGAGCAGATTCTTCATCGGAGCTAGACTTCTGTCTCATGAATGCCTTTGCATCTTTAACATGCGAGAGCTCTCTATGGTCTGTAGTAGGTGCTTGCTTTCTTTCCTTAGGTTTTTCATTTGCCGACTTCACAGGTAGCGAGCTAAAGTGTATCTAAAGCAAAGAATAAAAAACGTAATATATTGCATTAACTTTATTTCTTTCAAGACTCTTAACTCACCCAAGTTGGGGATTCTACTAGGAGCACACTTTCTGTCCTTGCATGACAACACTCACTCACTGGAGGAGCAGCGTTGCAATGTTAGAACAGGAGGAATGTTAGTACTACAAAACACCTCCCTTCAATAACATAAGAGGTAGGTATTCTGTAGTCCACAAAGGTTTCTTTGGCAAGAATAAAAGACTGCTTGAGATTAAACGCACTATTTACTTGGGCAACTGTGGCAAATGAGGTTTAATGTTGATAAATGTAAGGTTATGCACTTGGGGGCTAAGAGGCTAAGAATATGCATGCATCATATATACTAGGGGGGGTACAACTGGGGGAATCAATGGTGAAGAAGGATCTGGGAGTTCTGGTAGATCACAAGCTTAATAATGGCAAGCAATGCCAAGCTGCGGGTTCTAAAGCGAGCAAAATCCTCTCTTGTATTAAAAGAGGTATAGATCAAGAGAGAGAGATATTTTCCCCTGTACAAATCATTAGTAAGACCTCATCTGGAATATGCAGTTCAGTTTTGGGCACCAATTCACAAAATGAACATTGGGGAACTGGAGAAGGTACAGAGAAGGGCAACCAAACTGATAAGAGGCATGGAGGAGATCAGCTGAGGAAAGATTAGAGAAACTGAACTGTTATTGGATCATGCTTTGCTGTTTTTTTTTGCCTTCCTCTGGATTAACTGTGGGTATAGGATAACTTTTTTTTTTTTTATTTTAACCTCTTCACGCCGGGCCGAACGCAAATGTGCGGCCTCCCAGCGTCTGGGCCTAGACCCCGAGCAGCCGCACATTTGCGTTCTATTAAAAAAGGACATATGTGCCGAGAGCGCGCACCCTGCGCGCTCCCAGCACACATGTCCGGTACTCACGAAAAGGTCCTGATCTCCTCTTTCGATCGGGACCTTTCCTGATCGTGTGACCGCCGTGATGCTGCGTCACGGCGGTCACGTGACCCTAAACCCCGCCTTCTGAAACTCTTAAAGGGCCGGGAGGCACCGGCATAAAGGGGTTAATGGTTGAACCAGATGGACTTTTGTCTTTTTTCAGCCAGACTAACTATGTACACTAATTGCACAGGGCTAACTGAACAAATATAACAAAACACTTTCAATGATAAGTATTTAACAGACCAAAATGGAGCAATTAAGATAATTGTTGGGGTTCCCATACACTTTAATATGGTGAATCATCAAGGCAATAAGGATATTCACGACAACAATTCTACCAGGCTAAAGGAAATAAATCCAATGTTACAATTAAGATTTAAAAAACAAAACAAAAAAAAAAAAAAAACACACAACACAACTTTACCTTTTCTTCACGTTCTTCATTGCCTGCAGCAGGTGTCAGTTCCTCCAAGCTCATTATATTCAGTTTAAAATCTAAAAAAAATATACTAGTGCATCAATTCATAATCCAAGTAACTGCGTAACTTTAACAAGACCCCTCTCTGACGTCAAAGGAAAAATGTATTTCTATGTATGTCTAATATATGCAGTCATGCTTGGTGGTGACCAGTTTGTTGATTTATGATCCAAATAATTTCATAATACCACCCTCTGATGTCATTTAGAATATATATTCCTTGTAGTAGTAGGTGACTATATACTATATGCACTATATACTATAGGCACTATATACTATAGGCACTATATAAAAGACAACATGCAGTTTTTGTGTCTCACTGATCGTTATCATTTCTACCTCAGCACAAATGTGTTCCAGAATACCGCTTTACTTCAATTACTAACAAAAAATTATACATAATAATATATTAATGTAAACCTGTCAAGAGAAAAAAAAAACAAACAAAAACAGGCTGACATCCTTTTGAAAATAGGAGTCGCCTGGCTATCACGTCGAACTCCTGGCCTGTACTGTATATTTTGAGCCGCTCTAACAAGTATGTACAAGTGACTACATCTGAAAATTCTTAGAAAAAATAAAACGTCCTTATCTTAAAAGGATCTGAAAGAATCTGTAGATAAAAAACAAGATGTGCAGCTTTGACCAAAATGGAATAATGCCCTTGCAATATGTGTAGGCCATTTATGTAACTCATGAAACCTGACTGAATAACTCCCAGAGATTGCATCTCCCCATCCTGCCTAGTTGCTAGGTTGTTCCTAAGCGGTTACTGCTCACCTCTACAATCACAGGAATGAGATCCCCTCACATATGCTCTCTTCCTCCGATGCTCTCAGATGCTGAGCTTGAAGTTACTGCAATCTCCTGTGATGGTGGATGTGAACAGTAACAGCTGTCTTAGCAATGTCCTAGCATCAAGGCAGGATGGGCAGATGCCATCTCTGGGAGTTTTTCAGTCAGGGTTTATAATATATGTAAATGGCCTCCACCTATAAAGCAAGAGTATTATTCAACTTTGGTCAAAGCTGCACAGCTTGTTTTTATCCAGAGATCCCTTATCTGCATAGGCAGTTGTTTTCTGGTAAAGGTGAACTATGCCTTTAAGCTAGATTACCTGCTGTATATATAAAATTTACTTATCCCATCTGTAAACTATTATTGACATTGTGCTGTTGATACACTGAAGTGCAAAGTTGAGGGGAATTGATCACAAACGGAGAAGCCAGAATCTTGAACAGCTGTGCCTGGTAACCAGGCAGTTTATATCTGTTATTTCCAAAGCTTAAAGTGGTAGTAAAGTCAGGATTTTTAAAATCTGCTGACAGGCAGGGTTTTTATAACAGAAGAGACCCTAGTGGTCTTCTGTCATAAATGTCCCCCCGCCATCAGTGATGTGGTTTGAGTCACGCATGTGCAACTCAGGTCACAGTTATGACCCGCTCTGAGCGCCGCAGTGATGTGACTCCTGTGAGCATTCATGGAAGTGACGTCCTTGCAGCCCAGCCATTGAAGTGGCTGAAGATAGAGAACCCAATAGGAAGACCGGGCAAAGATGGATGCGCTGAGGACAAGAGGCAGCTGTACAGCCCAGCGCCGGAGGGCTCCGTTTTCAGGCAAGTCTGTCATAATGTGCTAGTATGCGGTGCACACTAGTACATTATGACATAAACCTGCAGGGTTTTTATTTAAAAACAAGACTTTACTACCGCTTTAAGTGAACAAGCTGAAGATGGAAGCTAATTGGTTGCCATGCACAATGATCTAGATTCTGTCTGGCAAAGTTTTGATAGATGTCACACATTGTATTTAGCTTTATTTTTGTGCTTTCTGTGACTACCTTTACAATGAAAGTCTAGGTAAGCAGTTAAGTCCTGCCATATATAATGTTTTCACTCCATAAGACGCACCTAGGTTTTAGAGGAGGAAAACCAGAAAAAAATATTCTGAACCAATGGACTGCGGACATACTACAGGAGATGGAGCTGCGGACATACTACAGGAGATGACCGGAGCCTGCGGACATACTACAGGAGATGACCGCCTGCGGACATACTACAGGAGATGACCGGAGCCTGCGGACATACTACAGGAGATGACCGGAGCCTGCGGACATACTACAGGAGATGACCGGAGCCTGCGGACATACTACAGGAGATGACAGCCTGCGGACATACTACAGGAGATGACCGGAGCCTGCGGACATACTACAGGAGATGACTGGAGCCTGTAGTTGGCACCCAGTTATGAAGCCGCAAGCTGTCACATCCGGGTGCTCCCACTAAAGATGATGAGGTGATGAGGACACTGCTGGACCAAGGAACAATTAGGACCGAGGAGCAGGTTCTGCTGCCCAGAAGAGCCGAGAGGCTGACCCAGTATTCTAACATGGTGGCGATGTGGGAAATCCAGGCCGGCCACTCCATAAGATGCAGACATTTCCCCCATTTTTTTGGGGGGGAAAAAAGTGCGTCTTATGGAGTGAAAAATACGGTAGTTTGCACAGATTGTCAGTATCCCCAAAGCAGCTTCAAATACTTCATCCTACAAAGATTAAAATCAGTAATGTGCTTCAATCCTAGGTAATCGTTTGAACTTATCATGCACCACAAGCATGTATACAGAAATTAGTAGCTCACATGAGATACAACAATGGAAACTGTCATATTACCATTGGAACTTGCACTACTTAAATCATCTGCTCTGGAAAATAGCTCATCAAGGGATTTAAAGTCGCTTCTCTGGGAGAGAGGAGTTTTACTACGTCTCCCCAGTCGTGCCCTTGGAGAGTTAGTCAATGAACTTCTCACAGATGGGGAAGGAGACCGTGATCCAAATCGAATTAAGGAGTGCCTTCTCCTTGGGTATCTTGGAGTGCCATGACTAGGAGGAGAAGGAGTTCTGGAGGAAAAGCGGGAAGGAGGACGACGTGGAGAGAAGCCAAGAGCTGAAGGACTCCGGTGCAGGTTTCTGTGTGGTGTTAATCTGCTGGGTGGTGAGGGAGTTCTAGGTGGTTTCTAATGAAGAGAAAACAAGAGAGAGTTCTTACATATTGCTTAAAAGGTATATTCCACTTTTTGAAAAAAATTTAATAAAATGTACCTACATTGCTCTCCAGGTCTTCTCCTCCAGCCCAAGGTATATATGGAGGTTATGGGGGCTAGAAGAAGTAATCGATGCTGACACCACTGCACTTGTGTTTCATTGAGAACCACTAGCCCCTCTCTGCTGCAGTGGCAGATGAAACTTGTAGTTTCATGCACAGCCATATCAAATTCAAACATATACAAAATGATGTCGGAAGAAAAACCCAGACATTCATGTAAGTGGAAGGTGGTTTGAGGGTGTGGGGCTGTGGAACTATGTTCCATGTTAAACTCTAAATATGAGTGTAACAAGAAACATGGTATAAAAGGTGGAGTTACAATAAGCATTCAAGATGTATACCAAAAATATATGTAAAGGCATCTCAATTTTTAAATTTTATTACATTGGATTTTTGGTTTGTTGTGTCCCAGAGGGAACTATTGGTCTATAATCCCCTGAGCCACGAATTTCTCTGACAGAAGTGAAGGGAAATTTCCATAGCAGAACGCAGGCAGCAAAAAAAATGCCTGGTATGAGTTTTAACACTCTCCTACTCTAACCGAAGCTGGGAAAAAAGTTTTGGCCTTACATACCCAATAGTTTATCAATTTAAGCTACCATTTATAAAGTGAAAAAAAATAAAAATCTATATGCCAAGCGCAAATCTGTTTCCGTGTCCACAATTTGATTTTAGATTCACCATTAAAAGAAAAATAGGTTTACTAAAGATATAGATTAGTGAAAATGTATAAAAAGCCATGTAAGCTGAAAAACCAGGGTCTTTGCTTTGTATATTTTTCCTAGACTTTTTCCTAGACCATCCTCATTGTAACTTATTAGGACTTATAAAATGGCCTTGTGACCAGGGGAATAATTATCTAAATACTGTAACGTGCTGTCTTTACTGTCATGCTGATTGGTAGAAAGATCTGAGGTTCAGAGAAAGAAACCCAGACAGAAATCCAAGGGAGATGGGTGCCTCCGATTAAAGTATGCTCAGCTAGGTGGTTAATCCTACACACTGCAAAGACTCATCCAACAGGTTGGGTGCTGGGGAAATCATATGCAAAAAAAAAAAAAAAAAAAAAGAGAAAGAAAATGTTACAGGCAACAATGACCTGGCCGTGGTGTGCAGCTCAGTACACGGGGTGTGTGCATTTTATTTATACACACACACACACACACACACACACACACACACACACATATACACACACACTGTATGTGGTCAATGTTGAACAGGAGAACATAGCAAACAGAGGAATAGCAGTAGAGCAGTGGGAAGAAATGATGCCTAGAAGCAAAAGTAAGCAAGCGGTAAGGCCGAAATTTAAAATAAGTATTGATTGCATATGTGTGAAAGCATAAAAGCATTCTATAGTGGGGTAACAAAAAGGAAGAAAGGGTTTCAACTAATGTCATAGGAGATGAAGGCCAGATTTAGGAGATGGTAAATTATAAAGCATTACTAAATGTAAATGGCAATAAGAAAATATGTAACAAGCATTAGAGGTGGAGGAAAAATAAACTTGATACAGGAAACGATTAAAGTGGTTGTCAAGTCTAAAGGTTTTATTACCTTAATGCATTTTCTTCATTAAGGTAAAAAAAAAAAGTCCTGTATCGATCCAGTGCTGTGCCTGGCTTCAGTTCTTCTCTCCCCTCTTGGATGTGAGCAGTGGGAGCCATTGGCTCCTTCTGCTGTCAGTGAAATCATGAGAGGAGGGATCGGGGGGGGGGGGGGGATGGGGGGGGGGCAGGGTCGAGCTGCACTGTGTCAATAGACACAAACAGCCCAGGTCAAGATTGAGCCCACATGTGTGCCACCATCGGAAGCAGTTTCCTATGTCAGCACACAGAGAAGAGGAGGAGCCAAGAATGCCAGGAGGGGACTCCAGAAGAGGAGGTTCTGTGCAAAAACAGTACACAAAGCAGGAAAGTATAAGGCTTATTTTAGTAAATGAGCATTTGCAATCATTTTAATGATCTGAAGGAAAACAAACTCACATTAGTAGAAATAGCAGTAACTGAAGGAGATTGAGAAGAGTGTGCAATAGGAAAGTTAGCACAATAAATAGAAAACAGTACAGTGAATGGCATAAGGTAACGATGTAGTAATATATATAGTAAGGTTCTAGCATTACTGCATTTGCTTTAGGTCTATGATTATAGCCCTGTGTATCAAGAAATGCAAATGCAGGAAAAATAAAATAAATTGATGGGAGAGAAAGACTTCAAAGAGGATCTTTAAATGAAAGTTGATATACTGAGAATAAATATGACCAAAAACAAATTAAACAGCAGCTACTGTATAAAACTATATATAAAAAGCAAGCAAGTATCCCACATGGCTGAGGAAAAAACAAGAATTCCTTAAGAATGAAAGAAATACATGAACATGGTTAGGGCCTTGCATTTCAAGGGCTGTAGAGTGAAAAAGTCAGAGAGAAAAAGAGAAAGGGAGAAAGTACAACTGAATACATTTACTTTTTTTCACTGTAAGCAATTAGCAACAGTGTGTATATTAGTAAAGCAGAGAGCACACAGTGTTCAGGCTGTGCTGGATGTTTAGCAGCCCCTTCCCCAATTGTCTCTTCCCTTGGCACATCTCTAGAATTCCAGTTCACTCAATATAATATAAAAGAAGTACATACTGCATGAGTGAGACAGCATATGTGCCAAAAAGCCACAGCAATTGTGAATCCAAAAGGAAAAAACAATATTTTTTACATCAAATTATCAGAGTTGCCATTGTGACTTGTGTTCAAAAAGGTGTAAGTTGTGTGTCTGTCTTCCATATCCTTCTTTCACTTTGCAATTGACTTACTAATCTATCAGAAGGATGCATATTAGATTGGAGTCAGTGATTCACCCAGTAGTAAATCAAAGACCAGGATGACAGCCCCATAACCTGCATGTTTAAAGAAGTCAGAAGTGATGGCTGCAATATCTTTATCTTAATATTTTTGGTTTTATCTGAGGACACACTAGACTGGGGAATGTATTCAGTATGATTGTTCAGAGTGCCCTTTCCTGACAGATGTGCTATAACACAGCCACCTTAAGTCAAACAATTCTAAAGTTTTGTCCATGTATTTGAAGAGACTTGTGTTGTTGTAGAACTAAATGTACTAGGAATGAGAAAATCCAAAATATGTAACCCATATAGGAAAAAACTTTTTTTTTTATACCAAATCCCAAGACAGGTTCTGATGAAACCATCCCAAACATTCTCCCATTATACAAAGACTCCACAATTTAAGCTCACCGGCATTTTCAACCACTTTTCATCAGTTTCGGAAAACTCCACTGAACTTCCAACTAGCTGAAGCATTTCTTCCTCTTCGCTCTCTGCAACCGTCTTCTTATTCTCTGCTGAACTGCACCTTACGGAAGGTGTCCTGATCTGTTCTTTGAGCTCTGGTTCCCTTATATTGACCTTTTTCTTCAAAAACCTATTCCCATGGAAGCTGAGTTCACTACTTGACCTGTTGGAGAATGGTCTTTCCTCCGAAGTCCTCAAGTCAGAGTCATTCTCCGAGATGTCTAGTTCTATTTTTCTGTTAATAAAACAAAAAAAGAAACAAAATAAAAATAGGATGACGGTTACCATGCAAACTGAGTGATAAATACTAAAAGCAGCAGTGTGTTTTTCCCAGGTATACCTCAACTGATGTCGTTTCTCAAACTCTGCCAGTCTCTTCAGTGCTGCACTGGTTGGCACCTTTGACTGCACAGGTTGTAGCTTTGCCACCACGCTTACTGGTTTGACATTGCTCTGAGTATCTTTACTAGCTGGGGTTTTTTTCTTTAAAAAACGGCTTTGGGTTCCTGTTGACTGTTGAGGGCTAACAGTCCCTTTATAATTTTCACTTTCTTGTTCTGAAGCCGACAAGTCGCTTAGGTTAGCAATTGATGGTTGTGATAGTTTTAACACGCTTGTTTTGTTGCTGAGTGCACGCATGTATTCCTAAAAAAACAAAGTCATTTTTACATTAAATTAAATAAGAGCAGATCTATAGTACATTTTTTGTTTAGGTTCAGGTAAATCACCAAAATCAAAATTTAGTTAAGGTGATTCTGAGTTTTAGTATCAGAACACAAACTGGTATCTTCAATGCAAGTCAGAAATTACAAATTTGCAAGCGTGAACATAATCTTTTACATAGCAAAACTTTTGTTCTGCTGAAATATTGCTACCTCACTGTTTTTCCTGTCCTTCTGTGCCTTTACAGTCAATGTTATCTGCTTTGCTCAAAGACTGCCTGAATAACAAGGCCCATTAATGCTTCAATTGCCTGGGTGACACCAGAGCTTTATCTGGAGCATGGTTGTCACCCAGGGGGTACTCATCCACATTCTAAACTACTTCTAAAAAGTCAGAGTAAAAAGAGTTAAAAGGAAAAAAAAAAAAAAAAAAGTCAATGTGCAGACACAGAGAGGCACTTAACTTGTTTAACTATCAGAGGATCCTCTAAAGTAGAAACAGAGAGGAGGGACAGTAGGTATGTCCTTTTGAAATTTCATGCCTACATTTCACTCATGTGCTCTTCTACGTTTGATGAAAAATGTCGTATGATCCAGCACAGGTGCACAAAACCTAAAGTTAAGGGTTCAATGTGTACAAATGTATGTTTAAAAAAAGTGTTACTAAACCCACAACAGTATAACCCTCCATATTGTGTAAACAGGCTATTTGATCCTGTCTTCTCTGATCCTCCCCTTCTTCCACAATCCCTAATCCATCTGCTGATAGTACAGAGCCCTAGGAGGCACTCTGCACATGGTCATGTGTGTATTTCTAGAGAGGTTTTTTTCCTTTATTTTTTGGGGGGGGGTGCATGTGATCGGCACAGGACCAAATCAGCACTGTCCAGACACAGGGTCAGGGGTTATGCAGCCTCATAGGACAGTCAGAGGATAATGAAAACTCCTACAAAATGTAACCAGTCCTCGGCTGGACACTAATGGAAGTCATAAGACTGCTATATACTACTGATGAGAAAAGGTATTTAGCAGCTTTTATTTACTAAAATAATTGCATTTCTGTGTACTGTGGGAGACCAGATCTAGTGAATGCAGGGTCCTGGGTTTAGTAACACTTTACAGCAGTTAAAAAATCTTATTTGTGGCAAGTTTATAAAACAAATGATTTAGCAATGGTGTTAAAGGGGGAATTCCATACATTATATTTATTTAAAAGGAGCATTTAGTTCCACTTTTAAAGTGGAATTCCAGTAAAAACTTTAAAATGTCACATTTCTTGTTACGAGTCAATTAATTACCCTTTGTATTATTCATTCTTGTAATCACTAATGGTCTTTTTCCTCTAATTCTGCCCTGCTCCAGAAAATGTAAAGTGGTTGAAACCCAGTAGAGTGACTGGCCTCAGGTGATGCACAGACCTGAAACAAATCCTCCTACAGAAGTTGTATATGTCTATCTGCAGTCTTCCCTTCTCTACAGCCGTTCAAAGTCCAAAATGTATACAGCTTGTCTGAACTTTCAGAAAACAAGGGACGGAGAGCTGAAGTTACACTCTGCAGAGATCAGTGAGTAGAGCTCTAAGAGCTGAGTGTAGGGAAGGTGCAAACCCTCCTTCACACAGAGGAGCTTGTGGCATTGCTCAAGGCTGTATGTAAATGATAATCACCCTGTTGGCAGAGAAAGAAAGAGGAAGCAGCATCCCAAGTTACTCCAGAGACTTGGTGTAGTATGTAGGGTGAACGCCACTCAAACCGATCCCCAGAAGTCAGAAAACAATGTGTGTGTGATAGATGGCCTCAGCCGTCACTCCGGCCTTGCCCTGGTCTCAGAGGCTTAGAAAACAGACAGCCTGAGAACTAGATATAGCACCATTGGCTGTGAAACAGGTGCGTGTGCAGGTGATGTGAAAGAAAGGTTAAGAAAAGGCTGATGAAAAAACTTCAGAGAAGAATATATCAAACATGAGAGAAAAATAATAACATTTCTAAACTCAAAAACAAACAGAGGGAACAAAAAAAGAATAAAAGAGAAGATAAATAAAAAAAAAAAAAAAGATATAATAGAGAAGATGAAAAAATGGAAAATAAAAAAGTATAATAAACAAAAAATGTAAAGATATGAAAAAAAAAAAAACACATACATATACATTTTTCTTTTGTTTTGTGTGTGTTTTATTATAAAGAATTAAAATAAACACTTTATATGAAAATGAATTAAAAATAAATATGCCTGAGAAAAAGTAAGGAATATAAAAGATAATAGATGAAAAGAATAATAATAAAGATAAAAGGTGGGTGACAAATGTAGAAAAGAACATGTCATGTACCTTTGATTGACTGTACCACTGTACAATTTCAATAAAACGCAACTGTTAAAAATAAAAAAAAAATAAAACACACACACGTGAAAAATGAATAATGAGAAAAAAATAATGTAAAAAATAAAAATAAAAAAAAAGGGAAGAAAAAAAAAATGTATTTAATCAAAAACAGTAACAATAAAAATAAAAAAAAATAGAAAAATGAGAAAAAAAACCCAAAAAAACTTACTTAAAACTTTTTTTGTCCTGGAAAAACACAGAAATCTGTTGTCCTTGTGCAGGGGCATCATGTAGGACATGGAAAGAAGGGAGATAAGACAAAGGGAGGGGATGTATCGAAGAACCGTAAAGTGAAAGATGTTTAAACTCAGTGACCATAGTCGTTTTACTGTGGCTGCTTTATGAAGCCAAGAACAAAAGAAAATGAAAAGAGACTTAGGAGGTTTTCTACATTTTTATTCATAGTAGTGAGTGACAAACCACTCAAAATTCAGTCCTTTAGGTATCCGAGTTTCAAGTCTAAAAATCCAGAATACTTCCCTCTTACAGAGGAGGGAGAAACGATTCCCTCCACTTTTGTGTGGATCGATGCGTTCTATAACCTGTGCTCTAAGGAAATGGGTATTTGAATTATGATATATTCTGAAATGTCTAGAGACATGGTTTTCTCTGTTCGTTCTGATGTTAGATAGAATGGTGACTTGTTGTAATTCTGGAGAACCCAGTAAGGTTATAAGATAGTTAATGGACATAAGTTGTTGTTCGCCAGTGAATCCTAAATTCCAAGCGTTATTATTCAAATAAATACAGAAGGAAATCTTCAAGCAGTACCTCCTTGTCCACTATGAAGATTAGGTCATCAATGTAGCGATAATACGCCTTAATGAGATGTCTGTATGGATGGAGGAACTATAGATGAATTGTTCAGCCCAACTGCCCATATAGAGAATGGTGTATGTGGGTGCAAACCGGGCATCCATTGAGGCACCTTGTTTCTGTAGACAGAACTTTTAATCAAATGAGAAGTGATGTTTTAACAAGAAGGACAGGCTGTCTGTTTCCTAAGCCTCTGTGACTAAGCCCTCTATGGGCGGGGCAAAACACATCAGTGGAGGTAGGTGGAGCGACGGCTGAGACCATCTATCACACACAAGTTATTTTCTGACTCCTGGGGATCAGTTTGAGCGGTGTTCACCCTTACATACTACCTCCTTCACACAGGAACATAGCTGAGGCTGTCAATCCGCTGGAGGTCCCTTCCCTTTCACAATTTTTCCCCTGGTGTCAGTAAAACTACTCAGAAGTGATTCATGCTGATAGCAGAAGAAAAAGGCAGCAGACAAAATTGACACTTAGTGCTCCTAACTGAGACAAGTACACACTATAGAGGGATATGCTTTGTTCACATTTCACTTTAATCTCTCTAGCTAACGATATAACCAACATTTCCATGCTGCACGAAGCGCAATCTCTGTATCCAGGTGTCCAGGTTAAACACATCCAGACAGCAGAGCAAAATATTCCTTGGTCTCCTTAGAAAATGTAGTCAGGTTATAAAAAAAAAAAAATACTCATACAAAATGTATTTCTAATTCAAAAAAAAAAGAGTACTTAATAGTTATGCAAGTCAGTCTATGGTGAACACCAACCTGTAGTTCATCTGAAGGATCCTTAGGTTTCACAGGAACCCTCTGACCACCAAGCTGGGCTTCTGCCCTGGCTAGGGCTGAACTTCTTATCCCACTTCTAGCCATTGCGTTTTCCCCTGCTGAAGAAGAAAAGAAGGATTACTGCTCCAAATTAAAATGAAAATAGAATTTTCACAGAGTAGAACATTATAGGTCTACTGAACACCAAGACCTGCGGGAATGAGGGCTGCAGCTATGACAGTGATGCGATCCTCTAAATGGTGATGAGAGAGGAGGGAAAGTCAACATCAGGATCTCTTTTGTTCATTCAAAGAATACAAGGTGTTCTGTGAATTGACAGAGGCAGAAGAAAAAGGAGAGGAAAGGAAGGGTGAACAACAGAATTACTTCACTGTCACAGCTCTGTCCCATCAGGCTCTACCCAACCTACAACTCTATGACTGCTGTGACTGTGGGGTGGGCGGAGCATAAGTACCATAAAGTTCACCTTGAATCCAATCACTGCAGTCTGCAGCTAACCACAAGCAAGGTGAACCTAATGGGAACTGGTCTCAGAGTTCCCCCATTAGGCTCTGCCCACCCCATAGCTAAACATCTATGAGCCTGTTTTGTAACTGGCACAGTGGCTGGGCTCTCGGCATAAGTGAACTGCACTGATGGATGGAGTGTCTGGTATAAACATTCTGTCCTAAGTGCTGGCCTCCATGCATCAAATACATGTACCGGTTTCCAACATATACATTAAAGGATGAGTTCACCTTTTATAAAAAATGCACATCTCTTTGATCTTGGCATTTAGTGTGCCCAAGAGGCAGGAGCAGTGTTAAAGTCTGTGGCAGGCTGAAAGAGGCTGCAGCTGATTGGAGCTGAACACTGTTCTGAGACATAAGTGTTCAGGTATGCCCAGAATGCAGGTAGTCTGTGTTTCAGGCATACATCTTTTGACACAAAGGGCTTGTGCCTCCCAGGCACACGAATATACAGATATTGGACGCACATGGGCTAAACACCTGTGTGCAAGGGGCCTATCTAGTACTGGCGTATTCTTGTCATTTGGAATTAAGTGTTTTTTTTGTGGACTCAACCAAAACTATGATTTATCAAAATGCGAACTGAGCCATCCAATCATGAAGAAGATGACCACAATTACCCTCGGTTCAAACCTAAGCGTTTTCCGCAGCATTTTTGCAGAAACGCACTACAGTCCATTCAACACGATTTCCTATAGGACACGTTCACATCTCGCGTTTTCACCCGGTGCGTTTTTTGTAAAGGGTCAGGCGCTTTTTTGAATGCAAAAAGTTGCATTTTTAGTTCTATAGACTTCAATAGAAATGCTGCAGAAAAGCATGTAGTGCATTTTTGCTGAGTTTTAAGTCTGTCTAGCAACAAGAACAATATATATACAGTCATGGCCGAAATTGTTGGCACCCTTGATATTTCTCCAGGAAATCATGTATTTCTCACGAAACGTATTGCATTAACACATGTTTTGCTATACACATGTTTATTCCCTTTGTGTGTATTGGGACAAAACAAAAAAAGGGAGGAAAGAAAGCAAATTCGACATAATGTCACACAAACCTCCAAAAATGGGCTGGACAAAAGTATTGGCACCCTTTCACAACTGCGGATAAATAAGAATGTTACAAGCATGTGATGCTCCTGTAAACTCACCTGGGGCAAGTAACAGGTGTGGGCAATATAGAAATCACACCTGAAAGCAGATAAAAAGGAGAGACGTTCACTTAACCTTTGCATTGTGTGTCTGTCTGTGCCACACTAAGCATGGACAACAGAAAGAGGAGACGAGAACTGTCTGAGGACCTGAGAACACAAAATTGTGGCAAAATATCAACAATCTCAAGGTTACAAGTCCATCTCCAGAGAACTAGATTTGCCTTTGTCCACAGTGCGCAACATTATCAAGAAGTTTGCAACCCAATGGCACTGTAGCTAATCTCCCTGGTCGTGGACGGATGAGGAAAATTGATGAAAGATTGCAACGCAGAATAGTCCGGATGGTGGATAAGCAGCCCCAAACATGTTCCAAAGACATTCAAGCTGTCCTGCAGGCTCAGGGAGCATCAGTGTCAGCGCGAACTATCCGTCGACATTTAAATGAAATGAAACGCTATGGCAGGAGACCCAGGAGGACCCCACTGCTGACACAGAGACATAAAAAAGCAAGACTACAGTCAGTGCAAAATGTACTTGAGTAAGCCAAAAGCTTTCTGGGAAAACGTCTTGTGGACAGATGAGACCAAGATAGAGCTTTTCGGTAAAGCACATCATTCTACTGTTTACCGAAAACGGAATGAGGCCTACAAAGAACAAAAACACACAGTACCTACGGTAAAATATATGGTGGAGGGTTCAATGATGTTTTGGGGTTGTTTTTGCTGCCTCTGGCACTGGGTGCCTTGACTGTGTGCAAGGCATCATGAAATCTGAGGATTACCAAAGGATTTTGGGTCGCACTACTGTAGGGCCCAGTGTCAGAAAGCTGGGTTTGCGTTACCAAGTTCACTTGAATCCAGCACTGGTCTTCCAGCAGGGACTGACCCCAAAACATACGTCAAAAAGCACTCAGAAATGGATGGCAAAGAAGCGCTGGAGAGTTCTGAAGTGGCCAGAACAATGAGCCCAGATCTAAATCCCATTGAACACCTGTGGAGAGATCTTAAAATTGCTGTTTGGAAAAGGTTGTAAGTGTCCTTCCAATAAGAGAGACCTGGAGCTGTTTGCAAAGGAAGAAAGAGGTCCAAAATTCCGGGTGAGAGGTGTCAGAAGCTTATTGATGGTTATAGGAAGCGACTGATTTCAGTTATGTTTTCCAAAGGGTGTGCAACCAAATATTAAGTTAAGGGTGCCAAACACTTTTGTCCAGCCATTTTTGGGTTTTTGTGTGACATTATGTCATATTTGCTTTTCTGCCTCTGTTTTATATTTGTTCCAATACATACAAGGGAATAAACATGTGTATAGCAAAACATGTGTTAATGCAATACCTTTTTTGTGTGAAATACTTGATTTTCAGGAAAAATATCAAGGGTGCCAACAATTTCGGCCATGACTGTACAATATATATATATATATATATAAAAAAAAAAGCAAAACATTAAAAAAGCGACAAAAACGCATGTGGAAAAATGCAATGCTGAAATAGCTCAAACGCAAACTGCATAGCTGTGACCCTAGCCTTAGGCCTCAAGCACACAGGATGTTTTAAAATGCTACTCCTCTTGGCAGCAGCAGCGTTTTGGCAGAAAAAAAGGCTGATGCTTATAAAAGTATCTATCACTTTTACGAGCGTTTTTGCTCATTTACAGGTGTTAATCGCTTGGGCGTTAATTCATTTCATTGGCCAAAATAATAATTTATTCTGGCCTTTTAAATGAATTAATGTTCAAGCACCAAACGTGGCTAGCGTTAACACGCATTGAGCGTTTTTTTCTACCAAAACTCTGCTTCTCCTGGCAGTGGGTTTTTTTTATTACAGCTCCTAAAAGCCTCTGCCACTAAAAGTCTATGTGTGCATGGACACATAGGATAACATGGAGAGCTGTTTGGAAGCTGTAAAAAAAAAAAAAAACAAAAACCGCCTGACACCCCTGCCGTGGCTGCAAAAATGCCCTGTGTGCATTAGGCCATACACGCTATAATCAGATAGTACAAACTCCTTGAAATTTACCAAAACTATGTAATATGAGGACAAATCTACACAATTTATTTAATCTGCACCCTTTGTACAGGCAAGGGCCTGACAAAGGGTACAAATTAAATGAATTTATAAACAACTATGTAATGTAAGGACATTACATAGTTGTTTGTAAATCTAATGGCGGTTGCAGGCGCTACAATTTTTTTTATGCGATCGCTGTGTGATTCAATCAAAATGACTGAATCTGCAAACAATCAAATAGCCATTACTTCCCTTCCAATCAATTAGACTCTAATTCAAGTCATATTCAAACAAACTGAGTCAATCGGCCAGGCAGAAAAATGATCAAATGGTCTGCGTCGATTGGCAGCACTGGGATAAATAATCAGTACGACCAGATTTCAATCAGATTCCATAGTGGAAATGGAGATGTGGTTTGTGATCGTATGCCCAGAGCTTAACGATTGATAGAAATTCACTTCCACCTGGGTGTGGCATATCAAACGGGGTGGCACCTATAGATCGATTATCCCCATCAGGAAAGATTGATCAGAAACAAACTGATTATTTATGGATGTGTGTTTGGCCACCATAAAGGAGATTGTATGGTGTATGGCCTGCTTTAGATGAGCACAGGACCACTCCATCAGTAACCCCGACGGATAAGAAGCAAAGCTCCTCCATTCCTATTGTGCAGCCTTCCTGATGGAGATAATTACTTCTCACCGAATGTTTTCCCTACACAGTCTATATAGAAGACATGACAACCTTCACAAAGCCTACATACTACTAGGACATGGCCAACTCACAAATGTCCGCTTTCACGTCACACCACGGCACGACTCCATCTTCACTACCATAGTAACACATACAGCAATAGCCGGTGAGGTCCGCCTCACAGCTCCGGGAACACAGCTTGCATTCCAAGCCTCGTTTCCCGGACTATATCCGCCTGCCCAAGAGCCTTTGCGCGTCCCACATACTACACTGCGCATGCTCTGCTGGCTCCTACTTTGTGTGTGCTCAGTCTTCTGTTCTGCTGGTTACACTGCGCATGTTTGGTTGTCTGTTCTGTAGGTTTGCGGGGTGAAGAGTGAGTTTGAGAAATGAGCTCGATTGCTCCAGGTTTGACAACTAATATCATTTTCCAATAGGCTGCTATCACTAGCTGTTTGCTGAGGTAGCAATACTTTTCAGTGTTTTTTAGTTGCAGTTCTAATGCTGGTCCTGGGCAGTGTATTGGATAGCTTTGTGAGGCTACATATAAACTATCCTACTCTGACTGCAGCCATGGGAAAACGCAAAACGTGTGTAGCCTGTCCGATGTGGGGGTGCAGTAAAAAATGTTGGGGGCAGAGGATCAGAGGTCATTGCTGGCAGGGCAATAGACGGGCACAGCGCCTTCTCCCACACAATGCACAGGGCAGTATGGTGGCAGGTTAGAGTAGTATAATGGCAATATAGTGGCAAGTTAAGGTTGGCTTTGGGGGGGCACAACTAAAATTTGGTGAGGCATAGCCCACCCCAGCACCCCCCCCCCCTACATCCGGCCACGGTGTAGACACAGTATCACATTTACACACATTTTTGCTACATTTTGTGTTTTCCGTGGCTGGCAGTCAAAATGTTCCTAACCTGAACGCGATTCTTCCACATTTAGAAGGCTGTTTAACCACTAGCCTACAGGGCACTTATACCCCCTTCCTGCCCAGGCCAATTTCCAGCTTTCAGCGCTGACACACTTTGAATGACAATTGCGCGGTCAGACAACATTGTACCCATATGAAATTTTTATCATTTTTTTTGTGACAGAGCTTCATTTTGGTGGTATTTAATCACCTGCCCTGATGATCAGTGTACATGTCCCCTCCGCGGAATGCTGATTACTGGCTCTCCTCTCCTCTCGAGCTGTCAGCGTGACAGCTCGAGAGAGAGAAATGCCAATAACCGGCATTTCCCTGTTTACATGTGATCAGCTGTGATTGGACACAGCTGATCACATGACCGAGCCGACTTCAGCTCTTTCTGTGAGGGATCAGCGACACAGCGCACCGCTGATCGCCGCGCTGCGCGCTCCCTGAACCGTGCATGCGCAGTGAGAATGGGAGGACGTCATATGACGTCATCTCCCAGAATGAGAGAACCACCTTGCGCCCGTCATATTACTATATCCTCCCAGGTGGTTAAAGGATAAGTTGCACCCCTTTGGACAAAAATAATAAATGCACATTTTTTTTGTAGGTAAAAAAATGAACATTTATTATTTTTGTCCAAAAGAGCCTGGAAAGCATTGCACCAGCAATCAGTAGGTCGCTGATGCCATGCAGGTCTCCTGCAGACCTGTCAGAATATCTGCTTTCCGTATGTATGGCCAAGCAGATATACTGACAGGAAGTTTCCATGGACTACCACGGCGCTTCAGAGTGTCATGGTAGTTCATTGAAAAAGCTACAATCCCACAGCCACTAAGGCTCCATACTATGTCAGAGGGAGGGGGCTGCAGCTATGGGAACATGTCACATGTTCCACCCTAAAAACAGATCAAACTGTTGAAAATCTAAAAACAGATCAAACTGTTGAGACTCAAGATCTAAAAACAGATCAAACTGTTGAACTCAAGATCTAAAAAACAGATCAAACTGCTGAGGTTAAGATCTAAAAAACAGATCAAACTGTTAAGTACAGGATTTAAAATAGATCAAACTTTTGAGCCCAGCATCTAAAAATAGATCAAACAGCTGAGACAAGGATCTAAATATAGTTCAAACTGTTGAGCCCAGGATCTAAAAATAGAACTGCTGAGCCCAAGATCTAAAAATGGATCGAACAGTTGAGAAAAGGATCTAAAAATAGAGTGAATTGTGGAGCACAGGATCTAAAAATAGATCACACTGTTTTGCTCAAGATCTAAATCTAGATCAACTGGTGAGCTCAAGATCTAAAAATAGATCAATCTGTTGAGCCCAAGATCTAAAAACAGATCAAACTGTTGAGCCCAAAATTTAAAAATAGAGCAAACTATTAGGCCTCGTTCACAACATAGGTGCAGAAAAACTGATGGGAAAAACACACAAATTTCACTTGCACAGACACCAGTTTGCAGGTGAGTTTCAGTGAGTTCTATACACATTGCAAATTCCTGCACAGAAAAAAATCCCCACTTGATACTAGTGTTGTGGTGTGAACAGGGCAATAGAGAACAATGGCAGATCCCTTGCAGAAAAACCCACCTCTCTGCACATGGTGTGAACGTAGCCTAAAGCTGAAGATATAAAAGTAGACCAAACTGTTGAGCCCAGGATCTAAAAATAGATCTAACTGTTGAGCCCAGGATCTAAAAATAAATCGAACTGTTGAGCCCAGGATCTAAAAATAGATCAAACTGTTGAGCCCAGGATCTAAAAATAGATCAAACTGTTGAGCCCAGGATCTAAAAATAGATCAAACTGTTGAGCCCAGGATCTAAAAATAGATCAAACTGTTGAGCCCAGGATCTAAAAAAGATCAAACTGTTGAGCCCAGGATCTAAAAATAAATCAAACTGTTGAGCCCAGGATCTAAAAATAGATCAAACTGTTGAGCCCAGGATCTAAAAATAGATCAAACTGTTGAGCCTAGAATCTAAAAATAGATCAAACTGTTGAGCCCAATTGGATGATTTCTGTGCTGTTGATCTCTTATCATTTGTAGGTCATTACTGTTTGGTAAGGGAACTGACACATTTGTCTGTGAAGTGGTTTGGGATTCTTACACGTGGACTTTCATCATTCTCAATATTCCACATTTGGACTTTTACATATTTCTCTTTGAAGTTTACTTCTTGTTATGCACATGTGAATTATATATTATGGGACTGCTATTTCACAGTGTTCAGATGCACATTGTTCATTACGGTTTAACTTTATTTTTTCACACACATTTTTGTACCGATCACTTAAGAGATAATGGTTTTGCACACCTTTTAGATTATTTTTTGTAATTCCTTTCCAGACAATTGCTTGTTTTTTTTATAAGGCTGGAATCTAATTATATGAAATCCCTCTGTTCATTCCATGGTCAAATGAAGCCAAAGAGGCCAAAAAAAAAAAAAGAATTGGGGCAGTGCCTCTTTAGGATAGTGCTCTTTTAATTTTTAGACCATCTGAAAAAGGCTCAGAGATGCACAAAAGGGGTCAAAATGGACTCAACAATCCCCAAAAAGAATACAAAAATCATTAAAATGCAGAAAAGCCATTGAAGAATGGGTTAAAGGCTTTTCGGGTTTTGGAATTATCAGTTTCAGGAAATGGCAGTTTCCCAACCAAATGCCTGGCTTTTAACCTCCCTGGCGGTATGATTATTTCAGATTTTTGGTGCTGAAAGTGGTACCATTATTTTGCATGGAAATATGTAGTTTTTTTATTGTAGGCCTGTAATTTTTAGGAATAACTCAGTGAAATCTGTCCGAACAAGAGTCTAGTAAACATTCCGGATATGATAAAACTTGAAACACGAAATCATAAATTATAATTTAATAAATAATCATAAAAAATAATGATATAATATTAATAAATTTAATTCAATAATATAATCAAACCAAAAACACTGAAATTTGAAATATAGCGCCAAGTTCGCACATCGCTGAGCAAAGCTGCAGAATCGTTTTTCAGTGTCTGATGACGAATTTCCCCACAAATCATTACTCAATTCTGCAAGTGGTTCTGATTTACTATCGCTGTTCTCTAGCTGGTCTAAAACCGATTTTGACATAAAGGGACGCTTTTTGGACGCCATGGACTTTTCCCAATTTCCAGGCAGAAAGAACAGTCAAAATGCAAGGCAGGGCACAGGACAAAGTAGTAGGGACAAAATGTATGTGAGATGCTTTGAAACAGCAATGTTTTGCTATGTAATAATCGTTTTTAAAAAAAATGACATTTTTTTAAAACTTTCAAATTTGCCGCCGGTTCCGGCGCCTGTACATCCCGACGTCACATGGACCAGAACACGGAAGCCGGATGCCGGCATTGGCCGGAGGAGATGGCCGGGGACGCTGCAGGGGACACATCGCGGAAGCTAAGGACAAGGTAAGCGCTGCAGGGAATCCCTGAGCAACGCCGCATGGTAAGCCCGAGTGTAGCTCGGGTTACCACTTGTGGTACTGAAACTTTACCCCGAGCTACACTCAGGAATACCGCCAGGTTCCTGGCAATAGGCAATAATCAACTCATATGAAATCACCCTAGTTATTCCATAGTAAAATGAAGCCAAAAAGGGCAAGAAAAATCCTAAAGAAATTGGCAGAATGCTACTTTAAGGTGGTAGCCCTTCAAATTTTTGCACGTCTGCAAAAGACTCAAGGAGACAGAAAAGGTGTCAAAATGGGTTCAAAAGCAAAGATACTTAAAATTAAAAATGTCATGGAAAAAGGAGGTAAAAGGCCATCTCTGGTTTTATGAATCGCACTTCTGCTTTTGGAAACCTTTATTCCGGTTTCACAAAAAGCAGTTTTTTGACAGTTGCATCACTTTTTAAGATTGGACTCAATTCATATGAAATCCCTCTGATTGTTCCATGGCAAAATTAAGCTAAAACAGGCACAAAAAAATGGGGAAATGTTCCTGTGAGCAAATAGGACTTTTGATGCAATGACAGCAGCAAAGCTGTAAACTGCATGCAGCTCCAAGAGCCTGCCCAAGGGCTCTTATACCAGGATCTGGCTTCAGATGAGGGAAAATGTCCACCTAGATGAAAAACAATGCATCTCCTGCTTCGCAAGCACACAGCGCCCCGAAAACTCAGTGTCAGCACAAATAAAAAAGTTCACCACGGACAATACCCAACTGACTCCTGTTGCAAGTGCACTAATAAGGCTACAATCATCTAAAGCCCCTTGTAGAGCATAGAGAAAGTAAGGATAAAAACCTAAGTGGCAGCCTTGCATATCTGAGCAGCCAAAATGCAGGAAGCACTCATAAATTAGTAAAGTACACCCTTGTCAGGAAGGGATGAAACATAAACCCTAGACCAGGGGTATGGAATTAAATTCACAGAGGTCCAGGGAGTAAAATTTCCATTCAACAGGGGTCTGAGTCTCATATTGTGCCAGATCTTTCATATGACAGCCCCTCCCCATCCGTACACTGCAGGTTCCCCTTTACATTACTGCCCCCCCCCTTATATATTGCAGCCTTTCTTACATCACAGTCTCCCCTTTATGCCACAGCACCCTCTTTTTACATTGCAGAACCCCCACTTTACATCATAGCACCCCACCTTACAACATAGCCCCCTTTTAAATTACATCACCCCCTTCACATCATAGCACCACTTTGCATTACAGTGCCCTTTACAACACAACATGCTCTTTACATCACAGCACTCTCCTTTACAATATAGCCCCCCTTTACATTACAGCACCCCTTTAGAATACATCCCCTTCTTTACAATACAGCTCCCCTTTACATCACAGTCCCCCTCTATACATGACAGTGCCCCCGTTACAACACACAGGCCCCCTTTCCATCACAGTGTCTCCTTTTCTTCTGTGTCCCCAGTCCCTCTTCACATCACAGCCCCCCTCCTTACATCATAGCTCTCCCCCTTTACATCAGTCCCCTTCACAGCTCCCCCTTTATTTTGCATCCCAGTCCCCTTCACAGGCCCTGCTTTACTTGCATACCAGTCCCCTTCACAGCTCTCCCTTTCTTGTATCCCAGTCCCCTTCTCAGCCCCACCCCACTTTCCATGCATCCCCAGTCGCCTTCACAGCCTCCCCTTTTCTTGCACCCCAGTCCCCTTCACAGCCACACCCTCTTTCCTTGCATCTAAGTCCCCTTCACAGTCCCCCCTTTCTTGTA